CTTATGAGGTTCTTAATTGTTCTGTAATAACAAAGCCTGCTGATTGCTCAAGTTGTAATTGACTCTTGATTGAGTTTATATAAATACTAAAACATGAAAATATTTCGTCTTTATCAAGTTTCTAAAACACCTAAAACATGAGGGCATTAAGTATGATGCGAGTTTGTAATAAATGATAATAAATGTTTAATAACTTGCTAAGCGTCTAAGCAAAAATCGAAAAACAAATGAGTATCTTAATTCACATTCCACGAGCAGTTCGTTGTTGGCGATAAGTTCTCCACATTGCTTTAGCAATCTTCGTTCTCAACTTTCCTGCTTCAGTTGACTCTTCAGGAGTGTTTCCAACAGTGTGTAACTCCTCTTGATTGACTCGAGGTTGATAGTTTTCATCAAATTCCCCATTAAATTGCTCATCATTACTATCGACTGTTCTGATGAAATTATGTATAAAAGCCATTAGTAGTATTAATCTTGCTTGAATCAGTATGGGATAGTGAGAACCTTCTCCCATCACTTTAAATCTTTGCTTTGTTACACCAAATATTCTTTTGATATAGTTCCTTAAAGCTGCATGTTGTTTGTTATACAGTTCCTGATAAGTTCGAGGTCTGTAGAGTACAAAAACATCAGTTTGCGCTATTCAATAAAAGAGGTTTGGTGGCGTACTCAGAGTTATCGCCGGAAAATTCACGAAGATGATATCGCACCCCTCGAAAAGGGGTTTGACAAGTCAGACTCAATGCAAAGCCAGCATCGCCCAAAACATACTTACCAGCCGGGATGGTAAGATTGCTTTCGCGTGCATCATCCCAGAGTTTACTATCCGCCACACTACCTTCCCAGCCAGCTAGAATATACGTAAAACATAAGCTGAAATTACAAGCCGCCAGTACATTTTGAGTTATATTGCCTTTTCGATTGAAATATGGCTTGGCGTCAAGTGGCGATACATGAACTGGCATATGCGTTCCATCAACTGCCCCCACGCAATTCTTGAAATAGGGGTACCAATCGGGGTTATTACGGATGGATGCTGACATCGGAGTATCCTGTTGAGGGAGGATGATGTAAGAATGGATCAATTGGGTATTTTTGGTGATATCCTGAGTTAAGTTGTTGATGATCCTGTAAAGACACAATCATCAGTCTTTGAAATGAATAATATAAATGATTTAATGGATTCACTTTGAAACCGTGTCAGCAGATCTTTGGAAGCGTTGGTTAAGCTTCGTATTTGATAGCCCGGTGATGAGGAAGTAAAGTAAAAGAGCTAATTGCTCTGTGCTGGTAACGTATCTGGAATCAGCAAGTGATCCAGATTCCTCGAGCCTTTCTCTCAATCCCACAAAAACCTCCTTTTTCATTCCCATATTTTCGTAGAAAACCTTTTCGTGCCCGGTCAGTAACTCATCAATCCACATCTGGCCAGAAAGGATTGATCTGATCCTTGGATTTTTTATTATAGTTGGCTTCAAGATTGTGTTGTAGTAGAATCTAGCGGATTCCATCAGGATTAAGTGATTGAAGAATATAATTTGGCGACGTCGATGTCTCCGGCGCTGAAGAGCTCGAGTATGATCCATTTTTTAATGAGGTTATATTAAATTTGTTCTATTACATCTACAAGCGGCGGGAAGGGTTCATTACAAAAAGAAAGAGTGAGCTCATCAAGTCGATGAGCTCGGTGACCTTGTTTACCGAACGACAAATGATCATTTCATCGTTGAATGATCATCATCTTCACTTTGATTCGGTTACCAAAGGTTTTCAAGGATCACAGCTTTACATATACATACACGGTGAGAATATTTCTCACCGTGATGTAAAAATCATATATGTAACTTTTTTCGGGTTTTGTTACCGAAGTGGGTGTTATATATGACTGATGTGAATGTGTGATTTTTAGTCTTAGGATTCATTTGATTGATTGATATCTGTACAGAATGAGCCTAAATCAATCACAATTAAAAAGAAAGACAATTCAAGTGGTGGAGTTGGAATTGAGCATGTCTGGAAGTTGAAGGGAGTATGGTGATTGGGAGCAATGTGGCAATTTATATTAGCAAAGGACAAGTGGAACTTGAAGCTGTTGAATGTTGTAACAAAGACATAGGCCCCCTTTCACAGGTAAACATCCTTGATATCTGCAAAACAAGACACTATGTATGTGCACCACCACTCCTTTGGATGGTGCTCATTAAAACTGAGAACCATGGTGAGCAAAGTTGCTTGATGTGGCCACTGCCTCACACAGCTGGCACATCACTCATGTTGTATGTGCATTGTCTTGCTATTGGTTCTCTTGCTGTATTGGGGCCACATTCCAAAGGTACTTGAGAGTCACATGAAAGCTCATACATGTTGTATTTTTCACCCAATCACATACACAAACCCAAGATATTTTCACAAAGGTCATTCTGACATGCCCAACAGAGGAAATTGCCCTGTGGTGTATCTTTTTAATTCTTCTGCTTCCCTCACTGACAAACAACACTTTATCAGATGGGGGAATTTATTCAGAAATGTTTTCAACATGTATTTCTCCCTTCATTGGTACATGACACCTGCTCTATCATGCAATTCTTGTGGAAAATTCAAAATGTTTCTGCACAACTTTCCCTGAAGGATAAAGTGCTGTTTGTCAGTGGGGGAAGCAGGAAATTTGAAAAGAAAATTACATAAGGAGACTTCAATTCTGGAGTAGCCACACCAGAATTCAACAATCAGTCATAAGTGCCTCTGCAAGGGCAGGGAAATGGCCACACAGAGAGGGCTTTGTTAAGCTAAAAGCTTTGTTGATCAGAGTTATGGAGTGCACACACATCTGTGGTTGTGGTGTCACTGTGGTTGTGTGTGACACTGATCAACACATGTCTCACATTTCAAGATGTGAGAATGTCTCTCCAGTGAATGCGACTGGGTCAATGAGGGACAGTGGGAAGTTGAGACAGGACCCAAGAATGCACCTTGACAAACTCATCAGACCTCCTTGCTGCTTGTGGGGCTTAGGCAACGCAGCAACAGATACGGTACTGGTATCGTACCTGCAATACCAGTACCGTACCTGAGGAGACGGTACTGCAAAGAGGTAGTACCCAGTACCGTACCCTGGATCAGATACAGTACTGAGTACCGTAACCCTGGGTTGAGATTGCCTTATGCCTCCAAGGCCAGTACCGTACCCCTTTCAAGAGGTAGGTACGGTACTGTACCGGTACCTGATTGGAAAATGCCGGTACGGTACAGTGTCGTACCTAGGCAGGTACCACTTGGTACTGTGGCAAGTACCTCTTTGGTACTGTGACAAAGCAGCCATTTTATTGACCAAAAATCAAAAGAAGACAAAAAGAACATGTTGAAAGTGATAAACAAAAATAAGAATAGTAACAAACAGAATTGCATCAGTGGTGCCACTTGACAAGAAGGACAAAGGCTATCAAGTCCCTTGGTGCTTCAGTACCATTCAGAAACAGGTACGGTACGGTACAGTACCTGGGTTCCCGGTACTAGTCCAAAGCAGTACCCAGTGCCGTAACTGTGTGTCAGGTACAATACTGAGTACCGTACCTGAAAATAAAAATGGGTCTTGAGCCCCTCCAGTATCGTACCTGGCACCAAGTTACGGTACTCCCGGTACGGTACTGAGCAAAACAGATACGGTACGGTACAATACCGGTACCAGTAGGGTATCTGTTGCTGCGTTGGCTTAGGCCACACTTGCACAAACTCATAACTCAAAGTCAAGGATTTGGCAAGAGCAATTCTTGTGATATGTCAGCCTGAGACTTGAAACAAAGAGCTTTAGTAGAATCGTAGCTGATTAATGTGCGCTTGTTGTCAGCTCTCAAGCTCTTAAGCATAGAGAGCCAGAAGAGCTACACTTTTAATAATAAAAATAAATAATAAATTTTTCATCTCTTTCCATAAGTATAACAAGGAGCGTATATGTTACATTATACTTTAAGACATTCAAACATACGCCTTTTTAGGACTTAGTATCTAAAATCTAGAGATAATATAAGAACTATATTCTCACCTTCTCTAATCTAATGAATGACCTATCAAAGGAAATTCTCAAAAGAACATTAGAGAGCACTCGAGTCACCTATGAAAGAGACAAGGTTGGAGAAAAAGAACACTTTGAAACTATTAGTAAAAGGATTGATGAAGAATATGATAGATTAGATAATGCCAAGAAAGAACAAGAAGTAATCAATATACAGACTACTCACAACCTAACGATGATTATCTAACTAATCAAAGGTGCCAAGAGACCAATCCTGAGAATCCATTATTGAAGAAGTAGACGAATTAAGGCATAGCTTCGTAATACTCAACAAATTAAATGGACTTTACGTAAAAAACCACAAAGGATCAGTTCGGAGCAGTAAGCTCCATAACTAACAGTGAAGAGCAGCCTATAGTCAACCACAAGCGGTACGGGTAGAGTCTAGAGGTATAAATACCTGACTATTGAGCAAGATAGAAACAACGGCACCTGATTTTACCACTACGAAATTTCTATTTAGATTACATCCACAACTAGAATAACATCTATCTTTTTGAAATACCCGCTTTAAAAAAGGATTCCCAAAGAATAACTTTTTAGGCACCTTGTTTTGAACAGATTTTAAATCAGCGTCAATTTCTTATAACTTTCATCTACTAGAGACTGTGCGCGCATGCGCACAACAGGGGAATAGTGTCCTAAGACATGTTTTAATTTGTACCATGTTTCTTCCCATTTTACAGGAAGAAACCCTTCCTAACCACCAACTGGTGGTAGGTCCAGAGTGGGACTTAGTTAAGTTTGCTTTTCACCATGCTATTCAGCGGATCAACTGAAATCTAAGCTCACATTCTTTAAATATAATACAAACCAGTTACACCTCAAGGCATTGTTGTTCTTCATCTTTCTCGTCCTTTCACCAAGAATATTGATGATATGTAAATCGAGGGAAATATAATCACAATCTTCGATCAAAATTTCACTAGATTCAAAATTGATGATATTCAAATAAATTACGCGCCCATTTGACTAATTCATCAACACAACGTGTAGTAGGATCAAAATCTAATCTAAGATCATAACAAAAAGAGAGATCTGTTGGTTCAATAGGTTTCAACCTATAACAAATCTGTTCTATTGTACTATCAGTAGTATTCCCTTGAAGTTGATCACGAAAAGTAGAAAGTGAAATACGCGAATAAAGTGATAGAATTTGATTAGTAAATTTTGACACAGAAGTTTATTTTAAAGTGAGTGAAAAAAGTTCTTACAAGATAAAAAGATAATATTACCACTTTTACAAACACTTTTACAAACAGTTGAAAGTCCAGTTGCAGCTTCATCCCATAAAGTGATTTTAAGAGTAGAACCAGTATCATCAATACCATCAAATTCAGCCAAAGTAGCAATAGATTGACCTCTTCTTGATTTTTTCAATGGAATGATTCTGATAGGATTAATTTCATTCAAATGGAAAATCAAATCATAAGTGATTTTTGTTTTGGTGATGATAATCATTTAGTCGATTCAATTTTGTACAATTTCTTGCTTCAAAATGCCATTTCGGTGGATTATATACTATTGATTCAGAAAAACTTTCTTTGATTTTTGAAAGGTTTGGATTCTTGATTGATCGATCAATTTGTGTCAATTCAGAATATAAACAGCTTACATCTAGAGAACGCAATACACATTTCATTGGTTTTTGACTAAGACTATCTTTGTACAAATGAAGCTGATTGACACTCATACCTTGGGACCATCTACTCTCATAGGAGGTTTTGTTGCGAGATAAAAGCTGACTCTCAAATATCTTATACTCCTCATTCAAAGTTTGATCGTGAATCGTAGTTTCATGAGTAGTGTCAGCATCCGGGATAATTGTATCTGAACTTTCATCATTTGTTGAGGCTCCACAATCGTTTGTATTCGACTCAATTGGTTGTTGGTTGGATGAAGTGAATGGTGTTCAAATAAGTTCATCAAATGTAGGTGCACCACCAAATGCGAAACGTTGAACCGCCAACGGTAAACGCACACGCTAGGTTAAATATGTGCGTATGCGGCATTCACGAGTGCCAAAAGAATGAAAAGCAAACTTGGAAAAGCAATTGTGAGGGGGGAGACCGGACAATACATATTCTCAAAGCGGCCGACAATAAATGAGAAGCCAAGAAAGAAAGTAAAATTGACGCCTAGATCGAGAAACAAAGAATGAGTGGAAATGAGAAAAAAGAACAAAAAAACCGTATATCAAGGTGTTAAAAGCAATTGTGAGGATGAAAACCGGACAATGTGTAAGCTTGAGAAAAAGAAAGAAAAGCTTGCCCCGCTTTTAAAAGCAACCAATCAAAAGTCAACAAATCAGAAGGAGGATTGCACATGAACTTTACAAAAAGGAAGAAAAGCTTGACATGCTTTTCAAAGCGGCTATCTGAAGGAATATACAAAAAGGAGGAACTGCTAGGAAAATACATCCCAGAAGATACCCGACTCATTGAAATACTCAACTCATGCCAGTCAATTGTAATATTTTGTTATTTAGATACTCCAAAGACTCCTATCCGTCAAACGTACTCCTGGCTAGTGTGATACCCTGAATCCCTTTGTTCTCTTTGTTACCCGTTTCTTTCTCAGCGCTTTTTCTAAGAGTGCTTTTTCTTTTCACTTTGTGTGCTTTTCTAAAAATGTACTCACATTTCTTTTTGTTGACAAATCCCCCGGATTTGTCTATCAATGTTGTCGACCGGATCCAAGTACGAACGGATCCGGCCATCCTCACTTTATCTCGATGTCCCTGACATCATCACGTTGTATCTCTAAACTACTTCCTTATTTGTACTTAGCAGAGATGGACGCCTATATAAGACGTCCATCCCTTGCTTGTGGAATAGATCCCCCCAAGCAGCTTCTCAATACATTCGCCGAACAGAATCCCTATTGACAATAACAAATAATTATTTGTTAGTAATCCTTTTCCCTTTTCTCTAACACCCTTTCGATAAATCAAAAGAAACCCGCCTATTAACTTGTGACTTCACCTACATCCACAGTGCTTACCAAAACAACTTCCCAAATCGATCTCGACACCAACCCCAGCACTACCGTTCACATTTTAATATCCAAAAAACAGTCGTGAGTTAGAACCGAATTTCCTAGCTAGTCATTCAAAACCAATTCACCGACCTTTCTTTTTTTTTTTAGTTAGACTCAAGGACCAAACACAACAAACAAAACTAACAAACCCAAGAAAATAACTTACCACCTTTTAAGGTATCCACTCATTACTTCATATTGGCATCTTAGGGGGGGGGTGATAGTGTGTATTTATCACGTGTATGCATTTCATATGAGATCTTATGTTGTGTCCTGTGCAAACCTAAGACTCTCTATGTGAAAGTTTTTTAGGTTTCTTGGGGGTGCCCCTCCGCCGGGACGGCTGAGGGGGTGCAGGACAACCGGGTCACGTAGGTGGGAAGCTCTGGACGGTGGGCTAGGCAAACCACCTACGGACCTCAAGGTCTCGTGGTCCGGGTCGTCCCTCCAGGGCACCCCGTCTTTATCTCAAAGTACGGCCATCTGGATTGGTCTTGGTGCTCCTTCCATGTGTCATGGGTTCTAAACGACGTCATCTCACTTCTTGTTTCGGAACCAGAGTCTTGATTACAGAAAGTAAGTCAATTTCTACATGTGGCTTCTACGAGGCCCTCAGCGACTTGAGGAGATGAATCGTATCGTTTAACTCTTCTTCTTTATACTCTCTGAGGTATAGTTTATATGCTTTGGAGCGCCATCTACCGATCTTAACGATGTCCAGTATATCACAGCCTAAATTCCAACGCAGCGAAGCACCGCCGACCCTGAAGGAGTGTCCGGTGAGTTTAGAGTTTGTCGTTGCGTTCCAGACCGTCGAGAATATAGCTTGACCTCGTGCCTTGGACAGGACCTTTCGTTGGTTCTTTGCTGGGTACGAGAATAGGGCATCGTCTTCATTAGCATTGGTACATGCGATTAGTCGGTGGACCGCCCCTACTGGGTCTAGGATGGAGTCTTGGCGCCTTAAATGGATCTCTTGGACTTCTCCGACCGTCGCCGTCTTCGCTTCCCGAATGCGAATCGTAACGTATTCGCCTTTCGGATCCCATATCACGTCGCGCACCTTCACCTGATTAGACGATTTCGGGTGTTTCAACAGCTCTCCTAGCCGGGCCATGCCCCAGAAGGCTACCAGGGCCACTGTGTACGCCGCTTGAAATTCCAGAGACTGCCCTGTAAGGTGTTCGTGAAGGTTGAACAGGTGTCTAACTAGGATCGGGTTCTTGGGAATTTTTACTCGTTGTTTTAGGTCGAGCTTCTTTGCAGTTGTTAGGAGTAGTTCGACTCGTGGGGTGGCATGGTGTGGGTAGTCAAGACCGTGGTAAAGGTGCCACGCTTTCACTCCTGAAAGGTACGTTTGGATAGTTGTTGACTTTATTGAGGTATGACCTTTGCTAACGTCGTCTGGCAGTTTCGGGCCTGCCCATAGGATAAATTGATATAAGACTTCGGGATCTAGGGGGAGCAGTGCCGAACGTGGGATCCCGTATGTGTTCGCAAAGGTTACGAGCTTCGTTACTCCCGCATTGTAATGTTTTAATGTGGGTTGTGACCAACTGCCGTATAGGATATAGGACTTTACGGCATCTTCGGAGGCTTCGCCGGGGCCTTTAACAAATTCTCGGTACGAATTGCTCATCTCCTTAGTTGTGAATGTCTGGAGAGGGAATTTTGGGTGAAGAAGTGCGTCGAACGTCTGGAGAGGCAATTTTTGGGTGGAGGAGTGCGTTTCTATTGGTGCTACCTCTAGGCAAGTGGGGCTTCACACGTGCTACGTAACCTCTCTTCCTCACCGGAACTGATCGGTTTCTCGATCGGGCTTTTGTAGTCAACTTCTCAAGCTTTCCACAATGTGGGGTTGCTAGTCTCCGCTAGGCTACACTACGTGCTAACACAATTTATTCATTTCTTCACTCTATTCTGGAACGTCTGTTCTAATACAGGGACTAGATCGATCGGGATCTCGATCACCACCGTTTCCTCCATCGGCATTAACTCCCCCTTATTCCTTGACAATTCGTCTGCCTCATTGTCTGCCGACTTCACCCTTTCTGCGACAATGTCACAATGGAGTCTGACTAGGAGGTCTTGTATTTGTTTCCACTCCTCGTTCACGGCTTGATCTCTCGACCTGTGTTTTAGCACCACGCATTCAGACGTCGTATTGTCAGTTAACACCTTGAACCGTTTCCCTTTCACGACTTGTAGTTCATTCAACATCAGGATCCCTAAACGAATGGCGGCGGTCTCTGCCCAGGCTATCCCGCCTCGGTCTGACACCTTTAAATGGTTCTTCCAACCTTTCTTCAACTTGAATTGAGCCCATTTCGAGCCTACTAGGACGCCGATACCGAAGGAAGAGGCGGCGTCTCCTACCCAACCAACTTCGGACACTTCAATTTCCGGGATGAATCTCCTCGTCTCGAAAACTCGTAGCGTACGTTGCCATTCCAACAAATCCACTCTCACATCTTCTGGGATTGGTCGTTTGGCTGATGCGACCATCCACTCCTTTTTCCACCTGTAAAGGCTCGACAGGTAACAGTTTAAGTTAGGAACTATATACGTGGTGTGTACTAACCGTCCGATGAATTTCTCTGTCTCCTTGAACGTGAACGTCCCACCTTCTAGAAATTGATCGATCTCTGCTTTCCTTTGGTCTAGTTTCTCTACGGGGAGACGCACCATCCGCTCCGCCGCATTCCAGATAAAGCCGATGTAACGTTGTTCGTCTTGGAATTCATGAACTTTATCTTTGCTAGAAGAAACACCCATTGATGTGCTGAGCGTTACCACATCATCTATCGTCGTACGGTTGTCTATCTCTTTTATAAGGAGATTGTCGTCTACCCAGCGGAAAGCACCCGCTAACTTGAACACTTTCTCTACAATCATTCTCCATAGATCTGCTGGTCGTCCAAACACTCCACAACCAGCGACTCCGCCAAACTGGACCCTAGTATCTAGCCACAAGCGGCCTTCGAGATCCATTATCATCAGGTACCTCCACTGTGAGATTAGAACAGGTATTTGTCGGTATGCTTTTTCCCAGTCGAATATAGCTAACAGATATCTTCCTCTTTTCTCTCGAAAGAATCTTGCTAGGACTTTGAAATCGTCCCATCGAGTGCGGAAATCTTTCTTATCAACGAAGCTATTCACTGATGGGAGGATCGATGAGTTTTGGGGAAAAGACATATCATTTATGACCCTGAATGAACCGTCCCCATTAATGACACTACCCATGGGACTTGACCGAAAGAAGCCGATTTTCTGGAACACTTCTTTGTGCGTAAACAGGCCGAAAATCCGTCCTTCTCGGTGCTCTTTTGCTAATGTGTTTTTGATCTTTTCGGCCGTTATTGACGCTGTTTGATGGTTGGGTGGGGTGAACCATCTTCTATGTCCCAAGGTATGGTCAGGTATACCTTGGTGGAAGCCTTTCAACAATCCTTCAATTACCGCTTCGGCTTCCTCCATCAGGCCGCACTCTCTTGCCAGTGCTCTCCACTCCTCAATCTTCATGCCGCAGGAAACAACTTCGCTTGGCCACCTATTGTCGTAGTCCTTCCCTGAGTTTCGGTAAGGTTTGATCAGGCTGAGGTCCACCTTGATGCCTTTCTTACCAAACTGGGACGTATAGGTCGGTCTCTCTCTTGCTTCGTCTTCGCTCATTGGATGACTATCGTCCTCCTCCTCACTAATTGGTTCTACCTGAATGTTTCTATGTGTATTGTGACTTACGAAGACGCAATACACCGGTTACAAGGCAAATCACGTCAGATTGGTCTTCAAGCAGGTACTAATTTCATTGCACATATTTTAAGCAAACTGCCCGAGCCATCGTACATGTCACGATATCTGGCTCAGGACACAATTCGGCGAATTTACTCAGGGGAAAGGATCTTTGGCGGCGAGACTCCCCGTAGAAGCAGGTATCTCTACCCCAAATTCTTGCAGCAGGGAACAAATCCGAAACTCTTTAAGTTGATTGCTTACTCTGCCTTTCCACCGGCTACAGCGTTGTCTCTCTCATCAGGCCGCCTATCATCCCTTCCAACGTCTCTGCGCCAATGCTCGTTTCCCCCGTTCAGTCTTCTACGCTGGGGGGACCGCTCTCTACCGGGTTGGTTTCCATGCCAGCTCCCTCGGCGACCTCTGAATCGACTCGAGCGGGAGTCCGGTCGTTTATCTTCCCAGGCTGCCGGTGCTGAGCCTCCGGGTCCTTCGTACACGGGTAAGGTTGTAAATGAGTTCTGGTGTGAGAAACTTTGGGAGCGGTGGGTTGGCTTATTGAACGAGGTTCCGTTACTGGTCTGGTTTCTAGAGTCAACTCCTGAGATTGGATCAATAGTTGCTTTAACTTCCCCGTCTGCGTACGGGTTAATCTCTTTGAATGCTGGCTGGAAGTCTTTCAGGCGTTCGGTTTCACGTATGGCTTCTCTTTCTAAACGGCCGTCCCGGATCGAAGGATTTGCAACTGAGCCGTCTGAAAGTCGAAAGGTCATCACCGCGGTTCTCACTGCCAAGTCATACCGGAACGCGACTGGCCAGTTGGAGTTTTCACGTTTAATGGCGAAAACGTTTTCTTTGTGAGTCTTGAACTTCGCTGCCAGCTCCTTCCATTTATAATGCTCAAGATAGGATATGAACAAGTAAAAAGCTACTACCCACTCGCCGAAGGTCATCTTCCACTCTAGAGGGACTGTTAGACCGATGTACGTATCTTCCAACTTCTCCTTCACTGAACGCTTCCTGATTGACTGTTGCAATAAATCTTGTCGCAGCCATTGTGTATTGAACACTGACAGGGGGATGTACGCGTCCAGAGCCACCATCTTCGCGGAAAATTACTTTGACAGAGCAACTAGACCATGGGATTCAATTCCCTCGTTAGAGAATTTGATTGCACCCGCTTTCTCAGATGTGGTCTCTGGGTCATCGGCTGTTAGGTCGACTCGTACCACTGGTGCGGTGCGTTTCTTTCTCGCTGGCTCGCTCTGTTGCTCTCCGTTAGTTGGGAACAAGGCTGGATTGATGGGCAAGGTGTTTGCGGTAGGGTTCGGCATTACTGTTGGGTGCTGGTCTTGCACAGGCGGTTGGGTGCTCTGTCCTTCTGCTGCCGGCGAAATCTTGAGGCCTTTGGACTCAAGCCAGGATCTGATTGCTTCTGGCGACATTTCGTCAATCCGGTTCAGGATTCCTTGTGTTTTGCCCGCTGAGAGCCTGCCGACGTTTTCGTTGGATACCACGTTGGCTGATAGGGGTCAAATGTCATGCTCGTGTCAGTTCCTTCCCTTCGTTTCGATTCTCTCTTTCGAGGCATCACTCAATGGTGGGAATGGTTTTGATTGGGTTCATCGCTCAAAGCGGCATCACTTCAGTGGATGTGGGCAGGGCTTACAGGACTTCTCTCTGGCCGCATTACCATTTACTATCTCGGGTGAGATCAGGCTCGACAGGTCGCTTCGACGTGATCCTCCGGTAAGGCTCGGGTCGAGATTAGACTCGTGTCTTTGTCTTGAGCCTAGTTCGACGCTCTCTGATTGCTCGTGGGAGGATGTGTCCTGTCTGTCACGGCGCTCCGCTTCCGGTTGCTTGTCCGTGTTGTTAGAGCTCGCGTCTCTGTTGCTTGGTGGCTGGTTCTCCGAGGGTTGAGTTGTGCCTTCCTTGGACTGGGGCCCGCCTTCGGGGGTTTCTTGTGCAGCTGCACCGCTTCGAGTCGTTGTGCCAGTTGGAGGTGTGTTCTTGTTCGCACCTTGGCCTTTCTTCCCGCCTTGACCTCTCTTCCTTCCTTGAGTAGCTGATGATGTCCCTTGGCTAGTCGGATTGTCGCCTTCCGGGTTGGCTTGGTGTGTGGTTGACGTGTTGTCCAAAGTCCCGTCTTGTGTCTGCGCCTCAGGAGGGGAGGCGGATCCATTTCTCAGTCTGTCGCTGCTTCGCTTCACTTGGGCGTCAAATTGGTCAATTTCACGTTGGGCAGACATCTAATTCTGTTACTGATTCGTGTTGTGACGTAGACTTCAAGTGGGAATGGGCTATCAAAGAAAAAAAAAATTTTGTGGGAAATTTTCAGCTCTTGAAGCTGTAAAACTAAGATAGCCAAATGAGCGATGCGTTGAGAAATGTGAGATATCTAGGGGGAGAAGTAATTGGCGCAATGGGAGGGGAAGTGTGAAAATCTTTTCACACTGAGACCCTGAATGTAGCGCCATTGTACAGGTTCTCTCGATATAGAGATAATCACCTGATTCTCCCCTGTAGAGGCATATGCGCGTACCGTGGAAATAGGTGGTACCGTCGTGCCTTTGGGTACCACCTTCCATCAACAGAAAAAGAAAAATTACCAACAAGAAAGATTTTAATCTTTATAACCGTACGTATATCCTCATTTCAGGCCCTGATCAAGCCTCACGAAAAGAAAGGTTAATAATAACCGCATCATTCTTGAAATAACACAGAAAAAAAAATTCTAGAATACAAAATGGACGAACAAAATGGATTCATCCAAGTCCCGGCCGAAGATATCCGACTCTTACGAGCCCAAATTCAACAAACCAACATAGATTCCCAGAACACCGCGCAAGCTCACGCGCAAGCCCTCTCCGAACTCCGGGAACAGTATCAACAAGCCTACCAACAACAGGCTTTAGAACTCGCCGACACTAAGAGCATCATCCAACATCTACAAAGTAACCAAAACCAAACCTATAGCAAAAAGCCAGACGCCTTTCGAGGAGAACCTCGAAAATTTGAAGGGTACGGCGATAATGCAGAGCTATGGATACTCGAATTAGAATCCAACTTTAGGATCCATCATTATCCCGAATCCGAGTGGGGTGAAATGATAGGAGCCTATTTAGATGAAGAATCTAAAATGTATTGGCTCACTGAAAGGAACTCCATCGGAGGAGCCATCACTAATTATCAGGAATTTAGAGCTAAATTCTTACAGAAATACAATTTCAGCTTAACTATGGACGAGATAAGAGAAAAAATCAAATTACTATATTACCGGCACGATATACACGATTATATCTTAAGGTTCCGAAAACTGTCTTGTCAAATCCCCCTAGAAAAGTTCAGTTTTCTTGATAGGAAGTTCGCCTTCTTAGATAAACTTCCAGCAAACATCCGAGAATGGGCCAATCGCCCCGAAGTTGTAGAAAAAGAAGACATGGAATTAATCTTCGCAGCCGCTAGGGAACGAGACAGAAACAATAAAGTCAACAATCGAGGTTTCAAGACACCCGACCACAAACAACAGTTCGAACGGAAACTCCACCATCACTCATTTTCTCGAAACCACGCTCACCATCGAACCTCCAATTTCGGGAGACCCCCACCTGTTACCAACACTTCAGGACCCATGGACCTAGATCTGATGGACAAGGCCAAGCCCAATACCGAGTGTTTTAAATGTCATGGAAAAACCCACTTTGCTAGAGATTGCCCTAACACAAAAAAATCCTTTAAACCAAACTACAAAAAGCCCCAATACTCTGGAGGAGACAGGCGGAAACAGAGCCTTCTTCTCATGGACATGCCATCGGAACCAAGTCACGAAATGGACACCACACCATTCCAAGGACCCGACGGGACTATGTTCAGGGCTTCAAAAGAGTCAACCCTCAGCCTAGACGGTCCAGACCTCGACGGAAGAATCGACCTCAAACGCAAGGTCGATGAATATAATGAAACAATTGGAGATCCCAGCCATCAAAAAGAACTCGCTGAAGAACAGAGAGCGTTAACCAAGCTTTTTCAAGAGCAAGCAGAGGATATCTCATATAGATGCTGTAAGTCTTGTCTTATCTTTGGAAATGAAGACAGTCCTGAAACCACCTCTAAGGGCATTGACTACTTTAACCTAGACGCCGACCAGATTAACAATTTGATGAAAAGGCCTTTCGAGGACGACGAGAGCGAAGTCGGGACCAAAGATAACCCCATAATCGTCAATCCAAGCCCACTACCAACGATGGACCAGCAGCGCTGCAGGTCCCTGCAGCGCTGCTGAAGCGCAGCTATTATAGTTGCGTTGCATAGACCAGTCAGCGCAGCGTCAGTAAGTTGCGCTGCAGGGCCAGCCAATCCCGGGTTTTTTTTATCCGCTGAGTTTCTGCTGCGCTGCCGGTCTTTGGGTAAACAGCGCGTTGCGCTTTGGCCCGCAGACGCGCTGCAAGCGGAACAGCGGTTCATGCATTGGTGGAGGCTCATAACTATATACACCCCTTCTGTCTCAATCCAACCCAACCGATTGACCCCATTAACCCTTTCCACCACCCAATCCGGCAACACCACGGCCCAATCAAACCAGGAGCCACCTAAGATGACTCCAAAGGATGCCTATCAAGAGCGAATTCGAGAAACGCTCTACCCCCTGTTCCTAATGAAACGTCGAGGTATGTTCTTGTCAGACTGTCTGCAAGTTTTTAAACCCTCCTCACCTTCCTTCAAAAGAACCTGTTCCGTCATCCTCCATTCAGCACAACTTTGATACTAATATATCTTATAATTTTTCATTTATTGAATTCACTTTAATCCCCTTCCTTTACTTTATCCGAATTACTTTGATACCATTATTTTTCATTTTCAAGTCAACTTATACAAACTATTCCTCGTCATGCCTTCTTCTCAATCACATGAGACACCTTCGACAGCTTCCCGACCACAACGCTTGCGCAAGCCGCCCTCCAACCCCGGGATGATATCGCCATCGCCAGATTCACGAAGACGTGTCTCAGTCGATCGTTTACCTCGCCCATCCCAGCGCACCAGTAGTAGTACCGTTATTGAAGTCGTTGATGTCACAACAGAAGACGACGATGAGGATGTACTCTTGGACAATTCTAGTAACAAAGGAAAGTCAGTACAGACGCGAAAGAGGAAAAGGACTTTGAAGAAGAAGAAAAAGACATACCATCAGGTATGTAAAGCCTTCCTCTGCGATCATCTTGTTTTGTCTTTAGCCGATCATCTTGTTTTGTCTTTGTCCATATATCTCACTTACTTCCTTCATCACCAGTCCGGTAGTCAATCACCCACTACAGGCACCGGTTCAGCCTTTGTTACACAAAAAACTCTACGCGAAGATTCTGAGGAAGAGAATGGTAAAGTCCGGCCGAGAGGTCGACAAGGTGATCCAGGCAAAAACGCCGAAATTCAAGGTTATTATGGTGAACCGTATCATCTAAAAGGAGACGTAAGCTATTCTATTCCCATTACACTTTGGTTTCCACCTTCATAATCTGCTAACACTTTGTTTGTTCATTTATCATTATTTGTATCTTCTGTCCTGATATAGGACATGACGAAGGCACCCCTTACGTACCCCTGTTCGTGGTGCAGCAACAACCCCAACAAGCCCACTCCTGTTCGAGTTAGTCTGAGAAACCTCACCAGCAACTTACTAGTGCATCGGGACGGAAACACAGCTGCAGGTCGCTCAAAGACTGGTTGTCCGGGACGTCTCCGAGCTCGTGCTGCAGGTCTGCTAGTGCCACCTTCAGTCGCCGAATTGGAAGCAGCCAAAGCCAACGACCCGAACAACAAGGGCTCATTATCTTCTTTTGTCACCATTGGACCAAAGGTCAAGTTTGACAATCTTATATTCAACCAGATGTTATGTCTATGGATGACTTCACGCGCACTTCCATGGAATCGAATGACTGACAAATGGCTTCAGTCAGCGGTTCAATACCTGAGACCTGAAGCACGAATGTATGGCCGTAAATGGGCAGCTAACGAAGCAAAGCGCTTAAATTTATTGATGAAGACGGTCGTATTTGACGAGCTCAGGGTAAGCTTAATAAATAATTTCATTCACTATAATTAATTTCACTTGATCACCTTGAGCATCGTTATTGATGTTATCTTCTACGCATGGTTTGAGCAGCAAGATAAGCTTGCAACAAGATGTATGGACCACGAAGGGGAACCGACACGCGTTCATTGGCGCGGCAGTCACATATATTGATCATAAATGGCAGTTTGTAGCACGACATTTAACGCTCAAGCTTGTTGCTTGGGAACATAAAGGGAAATGGCTTGCTGAGCCCATGGTGAATATTTTTGTGAAACGTGGTCTAGTTAATAAGATAAGTGTTAATTTACTTTCATTGTCATATTCTTTTACCCGAATTTCCACTAACTTCTACTTCCTTATCCACCTCCTCTGCCAGACAACTGATTCAGGTTCAAACAACAAAACCATGGCTCAGGAAATGCATAATCAATTTCTCTTACAGCCCAACCAATCCGATTACATGTGGAACCCTAACCGTATGCACATTTTTTGTTTTTGCCACAAGATGGCCTTGATTGTGGGATCTGGACTTTCAGCACTCGGTCTCAAGACCCCACCACCCAGGAAGGTCAAGAATGCGATGCGAGGATCTTTACCTGATTTCAACCCAATGATCATCGAAGAAGAAGAAGAAGTGGACGAAGATGTTCCTATCTCGGACATACCTGATGTCTCTGTTCCTCCTGACAATCCTGATTCAGACGAAGAACCGGATCTTCAAGCTGTGGTTGCTCGGGCTGAGGAAGAAGATGAGCCGTTGCAAGATCCCGATGAAGAGGAGGAATGGGATGCTGCCGATGCAGCAGACGAAACTGATCCTGTCCTTCTAGCCGAAGGTGAAACAGCTCAGCCTACTCATCGCCGCAAGGCAAACAAACTCAATGCCCTCTTGGATAAGGTGAGTGATCTTTTGAAATATCTTCATTGTATATCTCTTTCATTTTCTAACTATGTTTCTTCTTTCTTAGATTGATTTCATTCTGCGTCGTATCACACGATCTGCAGCATGGCGGGAGGAATATGATCGAGTCATGAAGAGTATGGGTCTCAAACTTGAGTCCCTCATTGCTGCGTATGGAATACACTGGGACATAAAGTACATCAGCCGCGAAAAGGCTTGGAATGCTCGAGATGTAAGTAATGGTGTCACATGATGTTTATTGGTTTTAACTTGATCTCTATTTAATATCTTCAGGTCATCGATCAGCTGCTCAAAGACGATCTGGCCCGAGTTCATGCCAAGAATCGTCGTCCCCGTAAGAACGGGAAACCACATCGTTACTTTCACGAAGTCACGATCACGCCTTCGGAGTGGGCTCAAGTAAGGAATCTCAATAGCGAGCTCAAGGTATGTGTTTTTCACTTGTGTGTTTTTCAACTTGACATGATCAACGAACATCATTTCCCCTCAGAATTCTTCTTTGGAAAAACATGTTTTCATTCCTAAAATTGGCTTTTTCATTGCAGCTTTTCCTGGACGCCACCAAACGTATGGAAAGCAGGAAAGCCACTGGTTCCATGGTCATTCCCGAGTACGTCGAATTACGCAAGATATTGCAAGAACGAATCGATACTCTTGACACTGGCGACGCTCTCTACCCCATGCTGGCAATGATGAAAGAAAAAACTCAGGTGTATCTGGACGAGGCTCTCTCATGTGATACACTGGTCATGGCTACCATGCTACATCCTGCTTTTCAAATTTGTTTTTTCAATTCCTATTTTGGAAAGACATCTCCTCAATCCATTCAAGCCGAAGCGACTTTCAATCAGGAGTTCAAGACATACCAAATGAAAAACTCACATAAGGGTCAAGGCAAAAATCAAGATTTAACACAATCACAACCTTCAACCTCGACAGCGTCTTACTTTAATGTCTACAGCGATGAAGAGGGTGATGACATGGGCGATGACAACCAACTCACCAATTACTTGCGTGGCTGCGACAGAATGAAGGAACCTGCCTATGATCTCAGTGACCCAAACTCTGCACTCAACTGGTGGGCGGTGAGTATCTTAACCTTCTATCCTCTTATAAACTACTGTCTGATTGCAGTTTCTTTGCACTTCAGACACATTGTAATCGTTACCCTGTGGTTGGTGCAATGGCCAAGGACTTCTTATCGTGCTCAGCCTCATCATGCGAACCGGAGAGGATGTTCTCCACTGCAGCAGATGTTTGCGTTGCAAGTCGAGGTAAGTTACTGGTGATCTCAATCGAAAGGCAGGTATCTTGCCAGCTTTGGTTGGCAGAGGGGGTTCCTTTAGGAAAAGACTTCATCAAATTGATGGAGGCTTGTAACGTTACTGAGTACAATGATTTTGTCAAAGAGTACAATTCATCTCAAGCTCACGGTTAACTTTGGATGAACATTCTATTATATTATTGAAATGCTTCAAATTCTATTCCTTCTAGCTATTCTCTATTCATTTTCCTTAGTGAATACTTGTCCAGTTTTTTCATTCTTCTCTTATTATTGTTTCTTTTGCTTTTTCTTCTTTCCACATTCTTTTAATATCATTCATGTGAATACTTGTTGGCCTTTTTTTTCCATATCGCTCTCAATCTTGTTTTAATACGATTCATGTGAATATTTGCGTGTGTTTGGCTTTTGGCAGCGCGTTGCGCAGCGAAACGCACGCTGCGACACGCTACGTTTTTATCTTATGGTTTTGATTGCAGCGATAAACCGCTGCGCTCTGTCAGCAGCGCAACGGTCACATGCTGCGCTGCCCAGGTGGGGATTTACTACAGCAATAATCCCGTTGCGCTTCCGTTAACTGGCCCGAAGCGCAGCAAAGCGCAGCTGGTCCATCGTTGCTGGCACTACTCACCTCCGGATACTCCAACTATCCACAAAGGACGCCAAGCCCTCACTACGCCAAATCGCAAATTTACCGTGGAGTTTAGAAAATTGAGTAGACATAGAAAATTATAGAGAAGCTGGCAAGGGTCAGAAAAATATGAAAAAATAATGGGAGGGCCCTTTGATGCATTCCAATTGTCTGGCATATTTTTTCATATTTTTAAAACCACAATGCATATAATACTACACAAAATATAATATCTTCTGGGCAGAAAATATAAAAACCAACAAACAGTGATATTGAGCAGTCTTGAAGAGAGACAAAAATACACAAAATTATGCATATTGTTCCTATGGCTGAGACCTTGAATTTGAGTATGTTTTTGTATTTTTAGTGTGAGAATCTTTGATTGTACTAACAAAAAACCTCCAGGATTGTTAGATTACAACCTGTAACAGACATTGGAGGGCATAATTTGAATTCAACAATCCCTTATATCTTTGTCAATTCTTGGTCAAACCACTTGATTTTTTGTTCATTGGAAAGCCAAACTCTGTGACTATATCTTTCATTGAGACAGAGACCAGCACAACTACACAGATAGATCTAAACTAGATCATATCACAGAGACTAATGGATTTGAAGACAAATAGGTTTTTTTGTAGCGGAGCTACAGATTTGATGCATTAACATGACATTCAAATGCATTTCATTGCTTCCTAATCAGCTAACTATCAAGTGTTTTGACCCAGAATTGCAAAAGATATGAGGGATATAGAATTCCAGATATCCCCTTGTCACCCCTTGGCCAAATTCCAATCCGTGTTACAGGTTGTAATCTGAGAAACTTGGAGGTTTTTTGTTAGTACAATCAACAATCTGCACACTAAAAATACAAAAAAATGCTCAAATTCAAGGTCTCAGCCATAGGAACAATATGCATATTTTTATGTATTTTTGTCTCTCTCCAAGACTGCTCAATATCACTGTTTGTTGGTTTTTGTATTTTCTGCCCAGAAGATATTATATTTTGTGTAGTGTTATATGCATTGTGGTTTTAAAAATATGAAAAAATATGCCAGACAATTGGAATGCATCAAAGGGCCCTCCCATTATTTTTTCATATTTTTCTGACCCTTGCCAGCTTCTCTATAATTTTCTATGTCTACTCAATTTTCTAAACTCCACGGTAAATTTGCAATGTGGCGCAGTGCCTGGTTACTCACCCTCAACCCCGTTTGAGGCATCAAACATCAACATGTCAAATCTTCCATTTTCCCCAGCCTCCCCGGATCAAGGAAACAACAATCCCATTACCAACACAAGGGAAGACCAAGATCTGAACTTCTTGCCGTTAGATAACAAGATCCCAGCATATCCTATGATCGAGATGGATGGACGACGCATTGACGGCTTTGGTTTTACCGATACCCCCTTCCACTCGCCTCTAGAAGAAAGAACGAAAGAACAATTAGGAGAAAGAGAACTTGAAAGTGTCGAAACATGGAATAGAGTTCTCAACCTTAGCAAAAAGAGGCCTAGGTGGACAGGAGGCGCCGTTAGTGGACCAAAGGACCTAGGTGCTTACGACGGAGAAGCAATTCTTAGTCTCGAAGATGGAGAAATCTATGAAGGAAATTCTCTAAGTCTAAACATCGTAGAACTAGCCGCCCAAAACGACTCGAGCTCCTCACTGCCGACTTACACCTCGCATTTCAGAAACTACCCATTATCAACTATCCTTGATACTGGGGCAGCCGCAAACTACGTCTCAGAACATAAATTACAAAAGATGTTAGAATTGGATCGTAACCGCGTCAAGCTCGAAGAAACTGAGGGACAAAAAGTCAGATTGGCTAACGGTGCCCACGAGACCTCAACCAAGATTGCAATGTTCGAGCTAGAGATTGACGACTGCAATAATAGCAACTTCTTCAGGTTCACGGTGAAAGCTTACGTTCTACGCCTGCCGAACGTAGAGCTTATCCTGGGTATGCCTTGGTTCAAAGAACATAAACCAAGAATTGACTTCAACACCATGGAATACGAAATCGAAAAAGGAACAGCAGTTTATACCTTCATCCCAAAACCTAACGGGAACAACCTGTACACGATGGCCCTAGACGCCCTGCATAGCATCCTGGAGGGATGCGCTCGTGACGAGGCGCCAGATTGTTTCGAAGAAGAAATTAAGCAAGTCAAGAGGAAACACAAACATTATATAGATACAGGCGATAGTAGCCCTATCAAGACTCACGGACGGCCCTTGACACCTCCAGAACATCAACTCATCGGACAATTCATCGAAGAAGGGCTAAGTCAAGGCATAATTGAGAAAACAGACTCGCCTTGGAGCTCCCCTCTGTTGTTGGTAAAAAAACCTGACGGATCAACCAGGGTATGTGTAGATTATCGTGCTCTGAACAGAGTAACACGAAAAAATGCTTACCCATTACCGAGGATTGATGATGCTTACCAGTTCTTAAGCGGCGCCAAGTACTTCACTACGATCGACCTGAAATCAGGCTTCTGGCAAGTACCAATGGCGACTCAAGATAAAGAAAAAATGGCATTCACTTGCCGCCAAGGACACTTCCAATGGTCAGTGATGCCATTTGGACTCTGCAATGCGCCTGCGACGTTCCAAGAGATGATGAACGACATTCTAAGGGACGTCATCGACAAGTTTGCGCTAGTATATTTAGATGACGTCATTATCTTTTCCAGGACACAAGAAGACCACGTGGACCACGTAAAACAAGTGTTTAAGATCTTGAAAGACAACAAGTTAGTAGTCTCACCGAAAAAATGCCAGTGGGGCAAGAACTCTCTTTTATTCTTAGGACATATTGTTGATGGGAACGGTATTAGGACGAATCCCGATAAAATTAACAAGATCACCGAGTGGCCAGTTCCAACAAACATATCCCAGGTAAGAGGATTCTTAAACCTCTGTACATACTATAAGAGGTTCATTAAAGGATTTTCATCCATTGCTTCGCCCATTTATAAGCTCACGGAGGGCTCCCCGAAACCAGGAACGGCTATAAGTTGGGGAGAAAGTCAGCAAGCGGCCTTTGTAAGTCTCAAAGAAAGCTTATCCAACACCGTGCCTCTCTCCCACCCAACACCCTTTAGACCATTTGTATTAGACACTGATGCGTCTGGAACGAATATTGGCGCTGTTTTACAACAGGACAAACAAGCCGAAGTACCAAAGTCCGGAGACTTCGACTTCGTTGTATATCAGAAGGATCTAAAGAACAGTAATCTTCGCCCTATTGCTTTCGAGTCAAGGAAATTATCAAAAACAGAACAGAACTATAGCGCGCAGGAGAGAGAACTCCTTGCTATAGTCCATGGGTTAAAACATTTTCGAGGGTTTATAGAAGGTTTGCCAATCTTAGTCAGAACAGATCATGAATCGCTCAAACATTTTAAAACTCAAAAGTTCATTAATTGGCGTCTTGCCCGTTTTGTCGATGAGATAGAATTCTTCAACGCTTACATAATCTATAGACCCGGCAAAGACCAACTGGCAGCGGATTCGTTATCTCGAAAACCTAACACAATATTTGATGATGATCCACCCGAGGTGGCGCAACCATTATTTAGCATAGATAAAGAGAACGACCCCTATAAGACCCTGGTCAAATATAAAATGAAGATATTGGCTGGAATCGACCCCGCAACAATTGGGAACGGCTTGTTTCGTATTGTGCACAGCCACTTAGTGTTGTACGAAGACGAAAATTTGAGCGACATGCCGCAAATTGTGCCTACCAATGAAGGGGAAGCCGAATCCATGGTTTTTCAAATACATGAAGATTTAGGCCACCGGAATGTCGAGGACGTGCTAACCGCAGCAAAGAAGTGTGATTGGTTCCCTCGCCTGAACCACACGGTCAAGAAGACGGTTGCATTATGCCGATCGTGTCAAATACACGCAGCCCCGACCAAACAACATCAATTACCTATTCAGATGATTATCAGAGGCGAACCATTCCGCAAGTGGGGAATGGACTTTGTAGGGCCGCTGATAAAGACCGCCCACGGCAATCAATTTTTAGTAACGGCAATAGACTATGGGACAGGCTGGGCGTACGCTAAACCTCTGAAAAGAACTTCAGCAAGCGCTGCCATCAGTTTAATACGAGAAATAATACTGAACCACGGCCTACCGGTAGAGATCACCACGGATAACGGGTCTGAATTCATCTCTTGAGAATTCAAACAATTTATGGAAGAACACGGAATCAGGCACATTACAACAACCGCGTATCATCCTCAAGCCAACGGCTTGATCGAAAGATTTCACGGAACATTCGTGAATGCGTTAAGGAAGTTCTGTAGTCCATACAACCAAGACAGTTGGGACGGCTACGTAAACTCATGCTTGTTCGCCTATAGAGCATCGTACTCACACGCAATGAAGGCTTCACCTTACTTTATGGCGTACGGGAGCGAGGCGCGTTTACCATCCGAAAAGGTGAGCATAAAGTTCAATGATTCCATCGAAAACATGGAATTGATTCATAGGCAACGGAACGTAGAAGTTAGAAAACATGCTGTCACACGCGCAGAGCTCATCGAGGACCTTAATACGAGAGCCAAAGAACGAAACGCCTCCACAGAAGAATCTTACACTGAAAGAAGTCTTAAAACAGGAGACCTTGTCCTCAGAAGCTTCGAAGGACGACCTTCAAAACTTCACCCAAAATGGGACGGACCTTTTATTATTAGAACTTGTTACCCCAACGGTACGTATTTGCTGATGACCGCTAACGGTCACATCCTGAGTGCTAATGTGAATGGCGTACGTTTGAAACACTTCAAAGGAGAATCCGACGAATTCTTCTACACCTCTAGGGAACTCCACAAACGTGACGAACGCGCACAAAGAAGCAACGGAACCCAGTGTTAACATGGAAAGAGAAGAAATGTTGGCACGAAGAGAGGAATACCTAGTAGATCTCGCGATAAAATTACATAATGAGTTATACACGGATGAAACAAATAAAAATCTTAGAGACTTCTCCACCGGAGCTTTAAGCACACTTTCTTATTACTTACACGGTGCGTCAGAAGTGGTAAACGACGAACTCACACACAATGAGAACCGCCCTGAAAACTAGGAAGTTTCCATACTTAAAAAGGGGGTGATGTGATACCCTGAATCCCTTTGTTCTCTTTGTTACCCGTTTCTTTCTCAGCGCTTTTTCTAAGAGTGCTTTTTCTTTTCACTTTGTGTGCTTTTCTAAAAATGTACTCACATTTCTTTTTGTTGACAAATCCCCCGGATTCGTCTATCAATGTTGTCGACCGGATCCAAGTACGAACGGATCCGGCCATCCTCACTTTATCTCGATGTCCCTGACATCATCACGTTGTATCTCTAAACTACTTCCTTATTTGTACTTAGCAGAGATGGACGCCTATATAAGACGTCCATCCCTTGCTTGTGGAATAGATCCCCCCAAGCAGCTTCTCAATACATTCGCCGAACAGAATCCCTATTGACAATAACACTAGTTAGTTTCTTCACTCTCCACTGGTCAAGGACCCAGGTTTTGTGACATCTTTTGATGGCAATATTCCTGTCGATTTTTATCGCAGGCTACTCATTACCTTTGGGTTTTGAGAATGACTACGGCTTAGGCTAGACCCGCTATCATCTGCTAACGAGTAGTGGGCCTGTAGTTTTGAAGTGCCTTACCTAGGAATAAAGAGTGTTAATCATTAGCTAATATCCTTTCTGTTCGGTTCTGATAACTTTACTAGAAGCAACGCAGCAACAGTGACTGCACTGGTACCGGTACCGTGCAGTACCGTCACTGAGTTGACCAGTGCCGTACCTATAAGTACCGTAACCGGTGTCGGCTACAGTACTGGAAGGCCCAAGAGTCAGTTTTGTGCATAAGGTACGGTACCAGGTACAGTCCCGGCGTTTTGAGCAAGGCACCGGAACTATAGAGTACCGGTACCCGCAAACACGGCTACTGTACCGTACCGTACCTATATTTCTGTACAATACCTAGATTATATATCTAATCCGGCAAGGGGGCGACAGGTGTCCTTTCCAGGATCACACACCAACATCCCAACCTGGCCATAACGAATCCTTTTCGATCATTCTCAACTCCTTGCGTCGATACATACCCCGATCCAATCAACAGTTTCACATCAAGGCTCCTCATGGCTATTTTCTTCCACATCCGAGTGTCACAAGGTGGGGAGAACTGCTATAACAGCAGGCCCTTGCTACCACGTCAAACGTTTGTCCCATTCCTTCTATCATTTTGTTCCATTCCATTTCCTTCCATCATCTTGAACCAATCCATTTCTGGTCCTTTTCAAATCACACTGCTTTGATTTTCGCTCTAGTCTCATTAATTTCATTCCTAGGTTATCGATTTTGTCCAAACGCCACCCAATCGACATGTCTTCATCATCCGTCTCGCAAGCAAACCGTCGTAGCACTCGTCCTTCTCCAGCTAGAAAGCAATCTCATATGATAACATTACCCAGAGATTCTCGACGTTCTTATCAACGCCGTGAAGATAACGATTCCGAATCCGACGTTTCAGTTCTTACAAGTACTACTGCTCGTAAGAAACGAAAGCGAACTCCATCAGTCATTGAGGACAACGGTGATGACTCTGAATCTGCTGTTGACTCAAGCCTCCCACCACCAATCAAGAAAACCTCTCGCCAGGCATCCAGATCCTCAAAGATTAAGGAGGCATCCAAGAAGACTTCAAGAGGTTCCAAAACTACCAGCCATTCCAAAAAACAATCCCGCTTACCTACCTCAAGCTCTGTGAAGCTTCAAATCGACCTGGTCCAGGACTCTGACGAGGAGAACCGCAAGGTTGTCAAGGAATCCCAAGTTGTGAACGACTCTGACGACGATGATCGGTACGGTCCTGTGCAAGATTACTATGAAGAAGCGAAGGAAGGTCCCAAAGATGTAAGACTTTCCTTTATCTTCTCTTCTAAGCTTTTATTTTATTCCATGTTTTAAAAGGATGTTGATTTTCATAACTATTCAATCATTTCCTTTTCTCAACGATCCTCAGCCCCCAGGTGTCTTAGGCACCTTTCCGTGCAAGTTTTGCAAAGTCGATGTTTGCAGTGCAGGAGGTACATCCGGCCTATGGGCCCATCGCGATGGATCGAAGCAGCCTACGAAGTCTGGGAAGCCCGGATGCAAGCAAAGGAACGCAGCCATCGAGGCTGGATGTCTGCTCCCCCCAACCGAATTCGAATGTCGCAACGCAGCCGCCAACACTGCAGAAGGACAAACTTCTATCTCAACTTACGCTCTTGTGGTTCCGAAGTTTGACAACAAGATCCTGAATCAGATGCTTGGGATGTGGGTTATTAGAACTGCGCAACCGTGGCGCCGCGTCGAGGACCCTTATCTTTGGGCTTCATTTAGGTATGCCAATCCCAACGCCCACTTGTTGGGGAGAATGTGGGTGGCCCGATTCACACACGAGGCGTATATGGAAATGAGAGCTGTGGTTTTTGGGGAACTCAAGGTGAGTTAACAATTTGTTTAATTCCCTGCTCTATATATTTAATCAAAACATTGATTATATCTCTATTCTCCTTGTACAGGATCTTAAAAGCAAGTTTGGACTTATACATGACGCGTGGACCACCAAGGGTAACCGTTATGGATTCCTTGGGGCCACCGTTACTTTTGTAACGAAGGACTGGGAGTTCGTCACGCGTCACCTGTGCCTTAAGCTGATTGCATGGCACCACAAGGGTGACTGGCTCGCGGAGCCGTTGATCAATCTTTTGACCAAACACGGTATCCATACCAAGATAAGTAATTTATGTTTTCTTTGTTTATTTTTTTTTTAGCTTACCTCCTTTTTGATATCCACATGTTGGACCAGACTCACGACTCCGGAAGCAACAACAATACCTTAGCCGAAGCAATGCAAGTGCGATTGACGAAGCATAGTGCCGAAAACAACGAGATCTTCGATTGGAATCACGAGAAGCACCGAGTGCGATGTGTTTGCCACAAGCTGGCCCTAATGGTCAACGCCGGATTGCAAGGCCTCGGAATTAAAGCGCCACCACCTCCCCTGGTTAAATCAACCATGTTAGGCGACTTTCCTATACCAACAAACACTCTACATTCTATCCCCAAAGAAGAAGAGGCGACCAACGGTGAAGAAGTTACCTTGCAGACTACCGAGGACGACGGTCACCTTGATGCAGAGCCCGAAATTGACGACGCTGATCTTAAGTCTTCTGAAGCACAAGAAACCGCGGATTGGTATGATGTTCAGGACGGGCCACATTTGGAACCTGAAGTGACCCGTGAGGATGTTGAGTTGCAGGCTAGCGATCGCAATGAGGCCAACGCGGTCCACAGTCTGATCACCAAGGTTGGTTATCCTTCCTTTCTCTTTAATTTTTTTTTTAAATTCTCAATTCTAAAGCAAATATTTGCTCCTAGCTTGATGTCATCGGGCGAAAGATTGGCGGCTCGGCAGTCATGTGTGGCCTATTTGACGCGATGTGTCAATCTATGCTTTCCAAAAAGCTCCCTCGACCGATTCCTGGTTATGGAATCAGGTGGAATATCAAACTTCAGTGCTGGCGAAGGCTTTATAATGCCCGTGAGGTAAGTGAAGTGTTCTCAGTGCCAAAATTATAAATTTCTCACCTTCATGTCTTTTAGGTGATCGATCAAATCCTCAAGGAAGACCAGATGGATCCACCTCGAAAAGGTAATCATCAGGCCCGGCCTGGCGAAGCCCCATTACCACCGGATGTTCATCGTCCCCGTGGAATTTTCAGCAAAGCAATGATCACACCTGACGAGTGGCGCCAAGTGCGAGACATCATGGAGACACTTCAGGTAAATATGTGTCTTGTCTTTAATCTGGGTCATGTGGATGCTCAATTGGCATTTAACACCACAATATCATTATGAAATCACTTTAGGATTTCGAAGATTTGACGAAGTTCTTCGAACAAGATGGACCAACGGGATCTTTAGTCATCCGCGAATATGTTCAGCTTAAGAAGAAGATTCAGAAGAAAATCGATGCGACCAAATCAAGGGCTGAACCGCTTTTTCCAATGTATCATGCAATGTTAGTGCGTGTCGATGCGTACCTCAAAGAGGCTCTCGCCTCAGACACGCTCATCCTGGCTACCATCATGCATCCAAGTCTGCGCTTGGATTATTTCGACTATGCTTTTGGAGCGGGCTCAACTGAAACAAATTACGCGAAATCTCTCATTGAATCTGCTTATGAAAAAACCAAGGGTGACCTCGAAGTTAACGGTCCATACACTTCAACATCGTCTTCAACTGCAGCAAGATCAGGTCACTCTTTAGGCACCACCGATGAAGATTTTCTTTGTCACAAAGAGCAGCATCGAAAGAACACAGCTAACGAGCTTTGTTCTTACTTGGAGATGGCAGAAGAGCCCGCGCTGGAGGTGGGAGAGAATCCGCACCTAGCTCTGGCATGGTGGAGTGTGAGATATACTGTATCTGCTTTTTATCGTCCAACCAACTGACTTGCGACTTTTTCCTCTTGCAGGTGAATGAAGGAAAGTTTCCTATTGTCAGCCACCTGGCACGCGATTACTTAGCAATCAGTGGATCAGCATGCCCAGTAGAGAGATGCTTCTCATCGGCTGCGGAGGTTTGCACTGCTGACCAAAGCTCCCTCTTGCCTCGGCCGATCGAAAGGCTGGTTTCCGGACGTATGTGGGCGGTAGAAGGTGTAGAGATCAAAGGGAAGTTTCAACAGGCTTCAGATGCCATGAAACTCACTCTTGAGAATGATGGAAAAGCTCGAAAGAGACGAGGATGAGCTCAGTAATAGTAATATATGTTTGTTTTTCTCTTCTCAAATTTCTTGTCTATTCTCTCTATATGTTTTCTTTCTCTACTTTTTTTTTACTTGGTTACAATGTGGATATTATATTTCTTGATGTGGTACAACTCAAGGTACTAGTCGAGGTACTAGTCACGGCACTGTGCAGTACCTGCTCTGGTACGGCACGGTGCCGTACCGTCTTCGCTGATGGCGGTACCGGTACTATACCGTACCTGCTCTGTGACAAAGCTACGATACTGGGATTGGAGCTGTAAGGCGAGCGCAACATTGATGCACGGAACCAAGTACTGTAGCTGCGTTCATACACGGTACCCGGTACTGCTTTTGCGCAGTACCTTTTTTCAGCTACCGCACCGGTATCTCAGGTACGGAACTAGTTCCGTAACTGTTGCTGCGTTGCTAGAAGGAACAGTGTTTATTCCCCGTAACCAGCGGAATAACTTGTCAGGACTCACGTACGGAGTTGATAGACTAGACCTTTCTGTACGTTATATCAGTAGCCACCCTGACAATAGAGATATGATAAAAGTCAACAGAAGAGAAAAAAACAAAAAGACTTATAAGCTCATGGTTTTGAAGCTTACAAATGGGTGATCAATATAGCAGCACACTTGATTGCACAACATCGAATATTTCCATCAAAGTCTCATTTTTTGTTTCATGTTGATCATCTTGTTGTCCTTTCATCATATTTTTTTCTTGTTTTTTTTTCTCAATATCATTTCCCTTGGTTGGGTAATTACCATCTGTATCTTTTGTCAATGCAAAAGATAGATTGGTCATAGTCTTCAATTCCATCCCGTGAGCAAAAAACCAAAACATCCCAGCTTGATTTGAAAGTTGCTATCCCATGACAAGGCCAAAAGACCACTACAATGAGCCATTGCTCACCAGCTCCAACTTACACTACAGGAGTACAAGCTATCTCACCTGGTTGCCACAAAGTCTAACTCACACTCTCAAGAAGGTGAGTCATATCACCTTATCATTGTGTGAGCCTTCTCACATCATAACAAGGTGAGATGACTCACCGGCTCATCCGGCGAGTCCTTGCGTTGTAGCAGCATGAACAAATTGGGTGAAGCCCACACTAGCTGGCACGTGTAACTCACATTGGTTATGATTATGATGAGGTGGACAGCACCTATTTCAATGGCAGAGCAACATCTCACATGAGCGTCATGTGCCACCCGCCCCGTGGTGTAGATTGGTTTCAAGGATTTATTGAGGTGTGTGACAAAAAGCTGATTAGCAGTTGCTGGGCTCTACAGTACATACTTACCTTGAGATTCCAAGAACTAAACAGAATGTGCATTAGTGAGAGATATCAGGCAAACCCGCTATGAGCCCCATTGCTTCCCTCACTGTGGCATAAAATCAAAAGGCACAAAAAACAGACTCTGAGGCCCAAAACATGCCTCTGATTTTTGGCTGTTGCATTACAATATATTCAAAATCAAAGGTGTTACAGGGTCAAAGGTTCAGATGAAATCCTTCATTGAGGTAGACATTTTGGCCTACTGCAAATTTCAGAAAAGTGTAGTGGGGTCTTTCAATGTCCCAAGCCACCCAAAACCCACTCCAAAAACAGTGGCTTTTCTTTGTCACACACATTGATAGGTGCAGTTGTGCGTTCCTTTGGGCCCAAGTCCTCGGGATATATGGATCAATGTTTTTACTTGAAAGGTCCATTCCATCACTTTAAACTCACCTTCAAGTGGCATCTCAGAGCAAGGATGGTAAACTTGAAGTAACCAGTACAGTCATCTGGATTTGAACCCAATCTAAACTCTCTGGTCCATCATGGAATTCGAGATTTCAACCAAGCTTTCAATCAAGGAACAGGATTCTATGCAATCTAATGTGTTGGAAAACACAATGCATAGTATGTTCCTACTGAGCAATTGAGATAACTAGCTTCTGAAATGTACAAAAAAATACAAGTAGTCATTTGAAGCCCAGTGTGGATGCACCTATGGGTGATTGTCCATTTTTTTGTATTGACAGTCTCATTTATTTCTCTGGATCATCAGATGGGACATATGCTCATCTCCAGTTCTCATGATTTCTATCAGGTAATAGCTGGTAATAGTGTAATTAAAACTCACGGTGAAATGTGTGTAAGTAAGAGAAATCAATGTCCTTTTCTTACAAAATAAGTGTGCAATTGATTTTGATTTGTTCAGGTGTAATTTTTCATTTGTTTTGAAGAAAAGACCATTGCAAAATAAATTTCAATGTACCTCATATGCCAGAAGAACTATGCAAGTCAATTAAAATATCTAAGATTTTAAATTTTGACTCTCATCTCAGACTCCTCCTTTATGCAAAAATGACATAAGCAGAGATCAGTTTTGAAGAAACCGGAGTTTGGCTGATGAATTTGAAAGGTAAGTCCAAAGTTAGATCTTCTGGACTGAGATTGGTGTTGTATCTAGAACATGAAAGACTATGATTTGATGGATCTAAAACTTTTAGTGGTTACTGGGCCCAGTATATGTAGAATTTATAAGACGACTTTCCTTGCTGATGAGGTGGCTGACTTGATAAGGAGAGGGACGAAGGTCAGAATCTTATACTTCTTCTTGTTGTGGAATCGGCCTTGAATTAGAGTGAGTTGAGTTTAATTGTAGAAGTGTAGTAAAATAAAAGGTGTTGAAGATTAATACATTTTGTTTTGATTTGAAAATTTAAATCTCTTGATCTGCATTATGATTCTATGATTTGACTAATCAGTTTAAATTGGCTTACTTGACAGAAAAGCCCATCTTAAAGTTTAAAGTTATCGAGTCATCTCATCAAGACCGAGCTCAGCATTCTCATTAACATTCTCATTAAACACCATTACCATATCAAATCAACTTTAAAACTATCTTCAAATCATCAAAACAAATCAACTCATCATCAATTCACCACAACTCAACTCATTGTCGATCCTCTCAACTAAAACATGGCAGCAAGTAGCGCTGGAATCAAACAACGCGGGCTCTCAATCACTGGCTCAGGTCCCGGTCTTACTTCAAATCGTGAATCAGTCAGGTAAACACACTCAGAACACCCATTCTTCTCTTCCCATTCAAATCCATATCATACATAGGCGCATACATGCACTTGGACAATCAAATACTTACACTCAGCTTTCATACCTTGCTTTTCAACGTTTATTTTGAATTTCAATGCTCAGAAATGGAAATCGATACTCGGTCACCCAGCTTTACTCGATGGCGGCCGAAAATGATACCGAGATCGAGGATGAATTGGCTCGAGGTGAATGAACTTGGATCTAATAGTCATTTCGTCATCCCCACTGCTGACTAAACTCTCGGTTTGGCATTCCGATCTGATTCAGCTCAAAAGACACTACGAGACTTAAAAGCCAGAATCTCATCTCAATCCAAAAAGAACTTTGTTTTGGAAAGAGATGTCAGGTATCTTGATTCACGGATCGCATTGCTCATTCAAAATGTGAGTGATCGAAAGCTATGAGCTTTTTCTCAAATTCATTATCTCTGGGTTGACCGTGACGCGTCTTTTTTGAAACTCTTTCCATAGCGAATGGCCTTGGATGAGAGGGAAGAAGTTCGGGAGCATCTCGAAGAAGCAGACGAAAGTGAAGGACTTTATCTAGATGACAGACGGACTCAAGTGAGCCCTTTCGATCATGTCAACTCAACTCAAATTCCCTTCGTTTAACGATGTCGGTTTTTTCCCCGCAGCAATACGCGAATCTATTCTTCTTACTTCAAAGCGAACCAAGACATATCGCCGCCTTATGTAGATTAGTTTCCATGGGCGAAATTGATACTCTCCTTCAAACTGTGATGTTCACGCTTTATGGTAATCAGTACGAGAATCGAGAAGAACACTTGCTGTTAACCATGTTTCAGGTCTTGTCTTTGATTCCTGATACAATCTCTGACTGACTGAATCAATACGCGGGACAACTGATGTCTCCTCTCTATCAACCTCATCATATCATGCTCAACAGTCAGTTTTGTCTGCTCAATTTGAGATGGCAACCGATTTTGGATCACTACTCCGAGCCAATACGCCGGTATCGAGAATGATGACGACTTATACTCGGCGAGGTCCTGGTCAGAGTTATCTCAAGAGTGTCTTGGCCGAGCGTATCAATAGTCTGATTGAACATAAAGAGTTGAACCTGGAAATCAATCCACTCAAGGTACTGTTCTATCCCTTTCCGAGTCAGTCATTTGTCCACATGATTATATGCGCGTGACTGAACAAACAACTTTACGCAGGTGTACGATCAGATGCTTCAACAAATTGAAGAAGAAACTGGTTCTCTACCCGTTGACCTTCCCCGTGGCATATCGCCTGAAATCGCTGCTGCCAACATAGACGTCCAGAACATCATTGCACCCCGTCTGGCCATGTTGATGGAAATCGCAAACAGCTTCTTGATGACCATCATCGAAAGCTTGAACAGCGTGCCGTATGGGATTCGTTGGATATGTAAACAAATTCGTAGTCTTACCAAGGTACTTTTTTCATCTAGTTTATAACCCCATCGGATTGCCCACCTTTGGTCATATCTTGCCTCCGTTACATCCAATTGACCTCCAGGAATCCGTCTTTTATTTGTCATCTTTTTTGAATATCCAACCGTGATACGTCTGTACGACCACTTTGACATAATCTCACCTCGACACCTATCACAAATCAGCGTAAATATCCCGAAGCGACGGACATTGCGATCTGTTCATTGATCGGCGGATTTTTTTTCTTGAGGTTTATCAATCCCGCAGTTGTGACGCCTCAAGCTTACATGCTTATCGATAATTTACCTACGACTGCCAAACACCCACGACGGACATTGACTTTGGTTGGTTTTGCCTATATTTGACTCTGCAATTTCATTCGACTTTCGCTTAACATTGAATTGAATTAATTTGAGTATGAATCAGATAGCAAAAATGTTGCAGAACTTGGCAAACAAACCATCATATTCAAAGGAAGCATATATGATGAGCTTGAATCCGTTTGTAGAAAACAACAAGACTCGTATCAACTTATTTTTGAATGCGCTCTGCGATGTGAAGGATTTCTACGAATCACTGGAGGTGCGTTGAATCATAACCTTGATGGCGAGACTCATCAACAAGTCAATTACTGAAGATATCATGGATTTATGCACCTAGATGGATCAATACATGGCGCTTTCCAAAAAAGATTTACAGATCAACATCACGCTCAATGAGCTATACAATACCCATTCTCTTCTCGTTCAACATCTGGATCACCTAGTTTGTCTTCTTTTACTTCCTTCCTAGATGCATTTTACCCCTTCAGGCAAACGACGACATCTTACCCTCCATTTCATCCTAGGCTCGAAATGAAAGACAACATCTGCGGATACTGTTGGATGAATTGGGGCCGGCCCCTGGACAAGTACCTAGAAAAGAAAACCGAGCCATTGAACTTCCACTTTACAGTCGATGGGAAATGCCGATTCAGGATATCACGACTGCTTTGATGGCTGAAAACAATTTAACACAAAATGATATCCTTTATATGGAAACCAAATCGATCTTTGTACAGCTGATTCGATCGATTCCTACCTTAACCGATAAACGGCCCATGAATCTGGCACATATTGCCGAAAGAGCGGCTACAGCTAAAGACGCGGTATTGGTTCGAAAAGGATTGAAGGTGAAGGAAATGTTACGAGAATTAGAAGAGATCCAATCGTTGGGAGACCGAAAAGATGGACATAAACTCTTAATGGATGAAATTGCAGCTGAATTGACTCATCTAGGTAATATGCGAGAGAAGGTCCTTTTAGAGACTCGATCACTTGAAGCTGTATTCAAGACGATAGGGGATCATAATGCATACCTACGATCACAACTCGAACAGTATAAAGCATATCTACAGAATGTTCGAATGACATCCGCCGGCAATCAGAAAGGTAGTAAGACGGTAGGTGGTGGTGTTGGGGTTGTATCGGTTGATGGTAAAGAAAGGAAACAAAGTAAATCGTTAGGATTAGGACCCTTTAAGTTTAGTCATGGTCAATTTGAGAAAGATGGGGTGATCACAGAGAGTAATGTACCAGAGAATAGGTATGTGTGTTTACGTGTTGGATTTTCCTTTGGAAGCTTACTGATTCGTTTTCTACAGGAGGGCAAATATCTTTTTTCAAATCGTATCACCTTCACCTGGGACTTTTATCATTGGTTTACATTATAAAGGAAGAGAGAAGGCGATTTTGGAGATGGATTTGAAAATTGATGATTTGGTAAGTTGGCTCGGTCAATTTTTTTTGTAAAGTGATTCATCTGAATGAAGTTTGATTCTTCCTTTATGCCGTATAAAAGTTGGAAAAACAAAAGGAAAATGTAGTTAGTTTAGATTTAGAGTATGTTCAATTATCGGTAGTAAAGACTCTGGCATTGTTGAACAAGGTAAGTTTGTGTTTTCAGAATCAGAATTCTTCATGACGTTCTAATTGAATCGTATGTGTTTGACTTACGCGGAATGTCATAGACTTTCACACGTCGTAAGTGATAGGTTAAATCAAGGAGATGAAAAGAAACGGAAGGATTGAAGAAGGAAGGGAAAGAAAATTGAAAATTGAAGTTCAAATAGTGAAGTTCAATCAAAAGTTGTTGATTTTTTGTTTTCTGTCTGTGTGTGTGTTTAATTTGTGAATTATGATTTGTTTTCTTTTTTCTTTTTTTTCTTATTATCATCTCGAGAGATTGTTGTTTGAGTTGATTTATTAAGTATTTTCATTTCAATTTTCTGTAAATACCATACCCTGCCTATCTTCTTTCTTTTCTTTTTCATCATCTATCCTTCATAGATCTCTACTCAATCATACATTTTTTTTAGTCTTTTTTACACTTGTTCTTAAACAATCTTTACTCTTACACCACCAACACCATCATCATCATCATCCTTTATATGTTGTCTTATTTCTTGTTGTTGTGTTTTTTTGGACTTATTTGGTGTTTTTATATTAAAAATGCATAAAGTTCATTTTTCCCTGGTTTGGTTTGGTTTCCTTTTTGGTCCTTCAAATCTTTTTAGTTTTCATATCATACACACAAAGATATGGTGTTGATTCTGTGGAACAGTTTTAGATCATTTTGATATTCTATAACATGGTAGATATAAAATATCATCTAATCAGATCTTATGTTGATTGATCATAGCTCAATTTGTACTTGGATGGCAAAAAATGTTTGTTAATATTCTTCAATGCATCATAAGAGTTTGAACTTCAGAGAGGGGTGTTTGGAAATCTGTGCCGCATAGTTCTGCTGTCAGGAGGAAAGATCCCGTTTTCCTCTGACCAATACCACCTCTTTGACTCACTCATTGTTTCACTCCTCCTGTTTTTGGTGTCACTGTTCAAGTGATAGGAAGGCAAGGGTTTGTAGAATTATAGATGAAAAAAGAATGTAATATTATTAAGAGTGAAGTTAACAGATAGACCAACTTAGTAAACTAGCCAACACAAAAATTAATGATCAAGTAAACAAGACTTAGTATCACTAATTAAACAGATCACAAGATTTTCATAATCCGTCTTCTCAGCTTCTCAATCTTTCTCACAAGAAAGCAAAAGAAACCATCGCAGCTAAAACTGAAGCTAATAAGATAGATCCAGTTCTTATAGATGAAGCATCACTACTGGCACCACTATGACCGTCAGTTGCTCCATTGGCCGTTGAAACATTAGCCAAACCCAAGGTCTAGAAAAGTCATAAATGTCTCTTTAGCTCTTTATATCTCATTCATATCACGAGAAAAGTTTTTCACCTTGTTCATTCCACCAATAGGTTGTCGAGCACCTGGGGTATCCATCTCCATGATCCCAGGCCCAGCCACAGTAGTAGCATCAGTGACATTTTGTGCATTGGTCAAAAACACGTAAACCTGATTAAGATATCATGGTCCGAAAAACAATCAGTTTCAATTCTATTCGGTAAATGACACAAAAGGATATGATTTCTCACTTGACCACCTCCAATTTTACCATCACTTGGAATTTGACATTGACCATTAGAATAAGAACTAAAAGTTGAATTTAAACCACTCAAGAAAGCACATTGAGTAGCTCCAGTAGAATTAGTAGTCGAAATTGTAATTTTTGAACCAGGTTTAAGATTTCCAGTTATATTAAGACTTGGAAAACCTTGAAAAGCAGGTGATGAACCGGTTGGACAATTCAAAAAGAATGGAGTGGCTAATGTAACGATTTCTTTTGGACTTAAAGGTGTATCAAATGCAGTGGGAAAAGGTGATTCTCCATTTACAAAACGAACATAAGCGTTATGACGAGCTTCATCGGTTAAGATCGAACCGGCAGCCGTCTAAAATAGTCAATTTCAGTCAGTATCATTGAATTCTTGTGAGGGTTAACAATTATCTATTTAAAACGAGATTTACCAAATAATTCGGGTTCTTGATCGATGCGGCAGCGCCCAAAAATGCCGAAACCCCTAGAGATAGCACGTATTGATTTAGGTAAAAAGACAAAGGAAGGGAAACAACACAGAGGGATCAAGAAACTAACCGACTCCCTCCAAGATCTGATCAACACAAGAAAATGCAAGTCAGTAAAGCTAATCAATGAGTGAACTTGAAGACTAGAATAAATGATTACCAACCTGAGAGACTGCCAAAAAGGATTTGACATCGGTGTAGGGGAAAGTATAATTGCAAGCCTGTACAGGGGTGGCACCAGCAGCTTGTAAAGCTGAAGTCAAAAAGCTAACATGTGCAGCCTCATCATTCGAAATGGTTTGAATGGATTGACGCGTTGACATACTGAAATCGGGAAAAAAAGGAGGACTTGATACTTTAGATACGAAAAAGAATTAACAAATGATACAAGATGATTTCAAAGCACAAACCTAAATCCAGCGTTAATGAATGCATCTTGATCATACTTTTTCAAACCTTGTGAGTAAAAAGCAGAATCTAAATGTTCCAAAGTTAACGCGAAGTTGAGGATATCGGCATCTATCGAAAAATAGGGAGTACCTCAATTTCATGAGCATCAAAAACAAACGCATGACAATAAACAAAATATAAATACCAGTGGGGACCGTATCACGTTTCTCGAAACTTGCAGCAACAACGCAAGCTACGAAGAAAACAGATGCTTTGAGTGAGTTAGATTTCATAATGAAAGTTGGAATTAAGATTTTTGAAAGAAAGATCTTGAAACGACAGAAAGAGATCAAAAAAACTTGAATAAGTGATGGATTAGTAAAAAAGATTAGTTGGAAAGTTGGAAAAAAGTTAGATTGCGGACAAGGAATCATACAACATATCTTTGATGTAATCTTTATATACTCAAGACTTTCAAGACTTTCAACATCAAGATTTTGAGACACGACTGTTCAACGCTTCGATCAAAGAAATCCCTAGAAAGCATCCTCCCCGTTATGCTAGGAGTGGACATGCCAGTCAGTGTGATCAAGGTAGGGCAGCATAACGAGTCAGGAACAATGCGATCAAACGCGTTGAGGATTTCTGGTGTCAAATATTAGCAGATGCCATATAGGCCGAGTCAACGTTCAGGAAGTGTCTTACTCGGAACGAGTCTCGAAAGCCCTCACTTGAATCCTGCTTAAGAAAATGATGGGAATTGTAGTTGGTACATAGTATTAACATAAGGGAATCTGTAGGAGGTTAGGTGTCGGTCCAAGCAAGAGTGGCAAAAAGATTCAACTTAGGAAAGAGGTGCAACAAAAAATAAGCAAATCGACGATCATCTTATACGTGACTCGTCGTGCTCTAGCGCAGTGCGATTTCCATTGTTTCTCGTCCTTCATGTACCATGTCTCGTTCCAAAGTGGTGCCCGGCCATCCTTTGTTCCCTTTCACTCACAAAAAATCAAAAAATTCGAAAAAAATCACTTTCCATTAGTTATCATTTCTCTTCGTTTCAATTTTTCTCATCTAAATTGATTGTTTTCAGCACTAGCGTATTACAATTAGTCTCTTAGTAGCTCTCAGAATTTTTTATTTTCCCGCCCGCCACCCTTTTCAGTCAAACTGGGGGTTTAAGTTTCACGCGGAGCCTTTTTTCTTCACTACTCGTTCAGCAATTGTAAGCGCACATATTGGAGTGGGCAGCACTCCAGTGGAGTAGCTAGAGCCGGTCAGGCCGCCCCCATGTACTCCGCAGATCTCTCTCCGGTCCGTCGTGCAATCCAGAGCCCAGGGCCAAGTCTTGCGTAACCACCGTGCCTTGCTAGCCAAACCTCAACTGATTCCTGCGAGAAAGGATAAAAGCGGTGCTCCCAATCACTGACTGATAAAGGATGGACAGATTTTTGAAACAGTGATAGACCAAGAGAAAGAAAAAATTGGGCTGTTTTTACAAATCCAGATGTCCTTTCCAGTTGCTATATAGCAATCTGAAAGGACGTTTGATGACTGCACTGCTTTGTGCAGCCCCGACTTGGATTTTGAGGACCCACTCTAATCTCTCAAGGCTTCAATGCTAATTCAATCTAGGGCCTTTGATGAGATTACTACAAAAACCAAGCCTAACACAAATATGTGACAATGATCAGAACCAAAGGAATGAAAAGGATCAAATAAGGAACTCAAGGAATGATAAAAGCTACGGAAATCAGCTGCTATCTGTAAATCTGATCAACCTATTTATAACAACAAAGCACATAGCTTACCAACCATGGTATCTGCAATCTCTTTGATTCAGATTGAAATCTGTGAAAGGTATAAATAGTGCAAAATAGATGATGCAAGAATCAGGTGTAACTTAGACACAGCTGGTGTTGAAACTGACTGTACAATCATGTTTTAGCAAACTTAGATAAACACTGGTAGTAATATACTGGTTGGAGGCATGTCTGCTTCTTCCCTAGTACATAGACACCAAATTTCTGCACAGTCAAAAAATTAGAAATACAAAAAGCTTGACTTCAGATCATTGTTAGTGTTCTCAAGCTTGCAAAGGGTACATTGTAATCCATTCACAAGAGGATGAGGGATTACAGGTGCAGCAGGGTATCACATGTGGGGGGAGTTAGGTCAACATCTGTTGACATACCACTACAGGTCATTTTAGAAGAATTGATCCTGAGCAAAATTTTCTCCTTGTGGATCATCCCACTTCCTCAAGGCTCACACGCTGCTTCCTACAATCCCTGCTACATAGCTTGTATCTTCTTCCCTTTCTCTGTCTTGAAATTCAGAACCCCACCCACCACCCAGGTTGAAAATTCTGACCCTTCTCAGGCTTCTTGCCCCACAGGTGGTGCCTCTCAGATCAGGAGTCTTATTCCCATTAAAGTCCCACCACCTTTGGATCTATCCCCACACCACACAAAATACAGTTTACTGGTCCTAGAGTAGGATGGGTATGCTGTAGTGGAAGGACATACGGGAGTAGGCAAATGACCACACTCAACTACCTCCCAAACAATTAGATTTGGGAAACTGAGTATGAGGCCTCTCCCTCCACTACCTAGCACACCTCGTCATAGTGAGAATGTATCAAAACTTGTAAACACAACACTGGTCTTGTCCAACCACTGAGATTGAAAGTTTTTCTAAACCAAAAGCTTTAGACCACTTTCATCAATGGTTTTGGACAACTACTTCCCTTGACCCCAACACATTGAGTTTATCAGACATTTCACTGACCTCCCCATACCAGAGAGAAATAAGTGGGATAAAGAAAGACATGAGGGTTTGATTGCCAAAAAACAGACCTCCACAAGGGAGTTCAGCTAATTATGTATGACAAGATATGAGAGCATACTGCCATACTTCAAAACATGAAATCACTCTTTATTAATTGAAAACTATCCATAAGTATTAATCTACAAAAATTTAGTGTTCAAATCTGATAAAACTCAAATTTGATTGAACTGTGGTAGTAGATAGAATAAAATGAATAAAAACCGAGTCTTTATCTTTCCTTAAATCCTAGACTTCAGATGATTGAGCTACAATGAACTCGGTCTTTGTGACTAGATGCTTCTTCATTTCTGCTAAATGGTCAGAACAAATTAAAACTGATGACATTACAACATTATTAGTTATCCAAGGGCCAATTATTAATGAACTTGAGCATGAGATGGAATGTATGCATTGGTGACGCTAGAACTTCTGTGAGCGTCAATCAACCTTAGTTTGCGTTGATGCTGTTGAATTTTCAATCAGAGCGCGACGAATATCATTTGAAGAATCATGTCAGCTAAGAGTCACAAATGACCTTGTTATTCAAAAAATGCGATAGAACTCAACATCGTAAACGCATCCGTTTTCCATCCGTCTACACCTGGCTGGCCATCTTGAGTGGCGATGGCGTCCATCTTAGCACCTTGCTTCTCTACCAACGAATTCTTTGACGCCCAATCAATTCTTGATGATCAAAAACATAAGTCAGTGACTTTATCGCAAGGGAAAGATAGAAGATGAAGGTAAAATGTAATCCAGACATACATCTTGCTCTCGCGCTTCCCTACCAGCTTAAAGGTACCTGTCTTCTCTTTCTTGTCATTAATCTGAGCGGAAGCATCGTCTTTTTTCGAAGTGAACGTATCCTTGATGACATCCATCTTGGTGATCTGATCATCCCCTTCAGCGTCATCTAGTCGCTCTTTGATATCGACAAATTGAGCATCTAACTGTCCAAGCCCACTTCTAATTCCATCCTCAATTGCCTTGGCAATTTGCTTTTTCACTAGAGATTGGGCCCTGCAAGGTTGAGAAAGGAACATTTCAATTAGATCACCACCATCAAAGACTTCCCAATAAGCGTATGTTGTGCTTACAGAGGCCTCAAGGTTGAATACAAGAAGTTGTGTTTAGTATCTCTGATACCAAAAGATAGCTTGTCTACCTTTACCTTCACTTCTTTAACAGTGAAGACGCGGTCCTTAGCTGTTGAGCTTTCGATGTGCACCTTTCCTGACACTCCGTTCCCTGAGATTACAACATCCGCCAAGCCCGAGTCTTTGATTTTGGGAAATCCACTCTGAAACAGCGTTGTTCAAAATTTACACAGAATCAGATACAATCAATGATCTGGAAGAAGATAAACGTGAAGAACCAGATGCTGACCTTCTTGTGGACGTAAAACGCGACGTCTCTAAGATCGGCCTGAATTTGACTGAAGCTGATCCAGAACGAATGTTTGTTTGCGTTCGCGATCTTCTCATATGCCGAAAGCTGTAAAAATCGTAAAGCCATTGGTCACAAAATCAGTACGAATGTCGGATGTGGATGTGTCAACCTGCGCACCTTGAAGTAATTCCGCATCTCTAGTTCAACTGTGTTTGGTAAAAGGTTCTGGCCTTCCAACGTCAAGTTTTCAATTACAAGATCCAACTGTTGATCAGTGTATTCTGATAACACATTCAACCAACAGGCATCAGTAACTACATCGCGATGTGGTCATAAAAGCGCGCGAGGCAGAACCGACTACTCACCGATCCGGGGAATTGGAATGTAACCGATATGTTTCAAAAGACTCGGGAGAATCACAGATGTAATATCCTCCCAGAGATGAGTCTTCAAGGTCAAACTGCCTTCGGAATTCAAGAATAGATCCTTTGTGAGTTTCTTCCAGCATGCTCCAAATCGAGTATTTAGCGGGTCCTATCAGAGCGTGCAGATCGTGGTCAGCGAGCGCGTTGTGACCATCGAAAGGATATGAATCATTCACCTCTGCATATTGCGTGAAGAAGCTTTCGATTTCATCAAAGAGGGTTTGCCAATGGTGAGCATATTTATGTTCCCAGACTGACATAAAGTCATATCTGCGTCAATAAATAACTTTCTCTAAAGAGATACCAACGGATCAAACAGACTCACACTTCTTTCCTGACTCATTTATCTCTCTACCCGTCTGATCACAGGAGTCTTTCATGACATAGCCAGGTTCTTGCAAAACTCTCCGAATATACTTGTCCACAGTTTGAAACCAAGCTTTCAACTCCGGGTCGTTTTGAGCATCAACGTAGATCTGGTTGATGGCATCAAATACAGGCTGTAAAGATGCACCGTTGGCAAATCTTTCGAGTAGAGTACGCAGTTCTTTCTGAGCTTGTTTGAAGGCGGGATCATGTAGGACGTCTCCACCCTTGTTGGCTGCACTCGAGGTGACACCCTTGGCATGACCTTGATAGGATTCAGCCATGCCAAGAAAAAAGTCACTAGATACATGAACATGGCGTCAACAAAAGATAAAGTAGCGGTGCATAATTATTTGACAGTGTAAAACGAAACCCACATTGCTTCTTGGTAATCGCGATGTCTTTGTTGTTCGACAATGACTTTCTTCAACCGGTAGATGAATCTATCCCGTCGTTCCTTTGGAAACTTATCTTGTATATACTCTTTCGTGTCCTCTTTCGCTTTTCGAGCTTTTTCTTTATGTTCTTCGGGAATCTATGAAGCGAGATCCAATTGAGCGAGACTAAAAATGGAAGCGGGCAAGATTTGGACAAACCTTTCCGACCAGGTTTCCATAGGCATCCACAATTTTGTTCTTTTTCTCGTTACCTATACTTGAAGCAACATCGGCTTTACCTGAAGCAACTTTCTTTCCCTCGTTGGCAGTCGCAGAAGCTTGTTCACGATTATTGCTTCCACTAGTACCATCGGCCGTATCTTGGACTTGCGAAGAGGCATCTTTCGCATGCGATTGTGCTGTTGAGGACACGTCTTCGACCTCGGAGTTCGCTTTGGAGGCCACTTTGGAGGTCTCATCTTGAGCTTTGGAAGCAACGCGTTTTGCTTCCTCCGCTTTTTCACTCAGGCCAGTTGATGGAGCCTTGTGAAAGATGAAAGTGAAGGTGTGAAGATCAGGCGTGGAACGCATCAGCCAACGCTTGAAGACATCTTTAAATTGGGCCTCCGTAAAGCCGAGGGAAAGATCTTCACCTTGTCATGGCGAGATCGCTTACTACCATCGGGTCCAACCCATTCATCTGCAGGGGCAGCCTCATCAACCTGACGGAGCTCTTCTTCGCCAGGTCTTGTATTTTCCGCAACTTTGACAGCAGCATCTGCTACCACGTCTCGCGCCAAGATACCAATGTCTTTCAATAGCTCTAAAAACATCCACAATCAGTAAGAGTTCAAATATGTTCAGTTGATAGAAGAGCACTCACTTCGAGTTTCAGAAGAAGTATAAATCAATTTAGCAAGAGTGCGTAGGTGCTCAGCAGCAGCTTGGCCATCATTTTTCGCTTCCTCTTTGTTGGGAGCCGAGTTTGACGCGTCTTTCAACTTTTGAATATGACTTTCACCATCGACGTGTCTTGTATGATACTAAAGAAAAGATAGAAAGATTTCAGAGTTGATACAGAAGAAATGGTCAAAAGAAAGAAACTTACAAGAAAGTTTTGCATTAGTTCATCAGCATTCTTCTTCTGAACCATTACTCGAGCGGTTTCGATAATATCACGAAAATCTTGAATAAGTTGTCGGCCATCTGAGCTTAGCTTTGATTCATCTACAGGCGAGTGAGTAGTAGCATAAGTGAGGGTCTCATCGATTTGGGCGTTTGATGGATATTTCCCAGCGCGAAAGGCTTCAATGATCCCATAGCTGTCAATGCATTTTTTTTCGTCAGAACATGATCAAGCAGGTAAAGGAGGTATCGAGATGAAAACAGAATGGTGAAGAAAGCTTGTTACTAACAACCGCATTTTTCTTTCTTCATCTTTGGATTTGAACACTTTGTCAGTGGGATTTGTGACAGCTTTTGCACTAGGGTTTTCAGATACGTCCTTGACAGTGGCTGGGACAGACATGATCAAGAGAGATTATAGAGGTGAAGATTGTTGAGAGCTGGAACAGAGAGATGATGATAATTATCAAAAACTGAGAATGGTGAAAAGGTCAGCAAGAATTCTTTGTTGGGTCACGTTGATGAACGTTTAAAGAGAAGAGGAAGTTTCTTAACTATGGTATTAGAATATCAAATACTGAAATCCAATTTGTCTGTTGACCGCAGGTAAGGGACGGTAATCAAGAATGTCAAATCACCCAAATTGGTAAATGACGTCAATCAAGGAGAAACGAAAAGTTTAAATCATTGGATGATGTGCATACATATTGATCACCACACACCTCCAGGCTCCCTTCATCATTCACCACTAAAGGCTATCTCTACCGTGTAGACACGCATACATGGTCAACAAGATTCAAGTCGACTGATTACTTTAAACTCAATCAATTTCTGGGTATGCGGTGAAGGCAGGAGATACAGGGAGATATTGATGAGTTGAGAAAGTATTGAAATGGATGGTGAAGAATAACATCAAATGACTTCAGTTTATGTAGCTAAAGCTATGCACTAGATTCAAAGCTCCCATTCCAAAACATGGTTTCAACTTGATGTACAATATTCTCGATCGAAATCAACCGATAGTGAATTTAAGATCTCCCTAGTCTTGAACTTTTCTCGAGGATATAAGGATATAAAGGTCTATTTAGTCTGGAATGCATATGTTCCCGTGAAAATGATCCAGTATCTCGCCACTTTGTAGCCGATCGGGCTCTAAGGTGAGGGTGAGACTTGCACCGTTTACCCTTTCTCTTCAAAATCCATTTGTTTTCTATACCATTGAAATTTATAATGAACTTCACAAAGCATGAGAAATGATGAAAAAAACTTCCGAAAAAGTCACAGAGAATGAGAGTGTTCTAATCAATTTTACATCATGCTGAGAACTGTCTGTTTGCTATCAATCCCATGTGTTGATAAAGAAAAGAATGACCTTGAGTTGAAACATTAAGGATTGAAGAGGATTGAAAAATTAGGAAGAATCATCTCCACACACACTCTTTTTTGTCTAAAAACATCTTTTTAAAAAGCCTTCAGGTGTAAGAGATGTAGAAAACAAGGTTGTGAATAAAATGAATGAAAAAATCAAGAAAAAGAAACTCAAGTATCAACCTTACTTCGATCATTTCAGTTGGCCTTATTATGTCTGACATGAAATCAAAAAAAGGACAAAACATATAAGTCAATAAACTTAACTCAAAGATTGAATTTTTTTCTTCATATCGAATTTAAATTATTGTATACACAAAACACACACACATATATATAGATGAAACTCGCATGTGATATCTTACTCTGAAGTAGAGACTATAGAATAATTCATCAAAGTAAATAACGCATATGTGATGGAGGTCTTGTAGTCAAGGTGGAAGAGTGATGAGTGTTACTACTAGTTTGGATCAAGGGATTTGTTAGTGTCTTCTACTTGTTGCAATCCTCGTTGAAACTCTTCTTCATCTCTTGGCCGTAGCCGTAGCCATTGCCTACACATTCCCATTCCACAGTATTGAAATCAGCTAAATTATGGATCACTAAAAGAAAAGGGAAAGAGTAACATACATGCGTGACCCGCTACGTGCACGTTCACTAACGCGAAATCCATAGATCCGAGGACCATAGATCTTACTAGATGGAGAATTACCAATATCGGTTTCACCTCCGATAATCAGTGATTTACGTTGTAAATCAGATTGAGGAATAAATGGAGATTGAGGAGAAGGAGGAGAGATGATCGTTGGAGGAGTATCACGATAAGTTTGAAAAAGTAAATGTGGGAAAGTCGTTCCAAAGAAAGCTCCTAATATCGATCAATCCAAATCAAGTTTTCTTTAGCGTTTGTTTTGGGAGGCTAATGTGGAATTCAAGAAGGTGGTATTTACCATCGATTCCATTGAACCTACTACTTGGAGGAATGTAGGTATCGAGACAATTAGGACAGTAAAGAATTACCGTATCCACCCCTGGTAAATCAGATCTACCACATGGTACGACCTTCGATGTATGACAAAAGACTCGAGGACAATAACCGAAATGAGCGTTTTCATATTTTGCATTCTAAGGATGAAAGATCATCATAGGAGACGAATGTATCGAATCAGTTAATCGTAAGAAACAAAAATCAACTTAGAGCATAAACATTCTCACCATTTGAGCCAGGCCTTGACGAGTGATGATGTAACGTTGATGAATCAAGCCATAGAGTAATTCAGCCGAACTTTCGACGATCGACACATCTGGTACTTTCACTGTATCATCTTCTGTGAACCAAAACCGTTTGGGTACGTTAGAATGGTCAATTCCATCGGGCGGAACAAACAGAGCTAGGTCTCAATTGAACAGAGAGGTGAATTAAGGAGCTCACCGGGTTCGACATCTAAAATCATCTCTAAAGCCTCTTTATAAAAGGGTACCATCGCTACCAGACCCGTTAGATTGAAATCATCTTCAATAAAATCTTCAGCGACTTCTGCAAAATATTCATGACCGGGCAGAGTACAAAACCAAGAGATCCAGGTAAGAGAATCGGTACCCGAGGCGGATGAATCAGAATCTAGAGAAAGAAAAGAACAAAAGTCAAGTGATTAGCAAAGCTTGATCAAGGAACCCCTTATCGATGATTTGAATCAAAGTTTAATGAGTAAACTGTTGGGGTGGGAAAGCACCGGCGATGGAGGGCCGTTGAAGGAGGTAGAATCTGACCGTAAGCGGGCGTGCCATCGACCTGTGTCGCAGTACCGGCAGCAGGTCTGCTTGAAGACCTTGCTGCAGCTACATCATCTTGATTTATGAGAGTATCATTCAATTCTTCTTCCTCTTCCTCTTCCTCTTCTTCCTCTTCCTCCTCTTCTTCTGGTTCTTCTTCTAATGGATCGGCTGCTGAGGACTTAAACACTTCACTTGTTTCTCGTCCATGTGAAGTAGATGTAGATTGATTAGTTTGAGTAGGTAAATCACTTTGAGTTCGGTTTCGATCTGATCTTCGTTCGTTAGGTAATGACATCTTGAATGATGAAACTCTCGAGGTTATCTTTTCGTATTGATTGTAGATGTTTTTACAAGAGTCGGTGTTGTATTGCTATTGCGGGTTGGGTTTTTCTGCATCTACTCAAACTCGGTATTAGAAACAGCATCATTCAAAATAATGTAGTTCTGGAATGCATTCCATCACATAATTCAGTGAACTGTTTTTTATACAGCTACATAGCCAACCTTATTGCACTAGACTCCCCCATGAAAGCCCATGGCCATGGATGATGAGAGTCACCATGATAAATTGAAAGGCTCCAACTCCAATGGCCTTTCATGGGACTACCTACTAACATCTGCCCAGTCTAACAAGACCAGTGGTTGAAGAAAGAAATGGTGTTACCGTTTACGTGAGTTTTTAGTTTGTGTAAAGAAATGGTACATGTAACATATGTAAACACCTTGTATAAGAGCATCCACAACGGTCCACCTACTTTGCGGGCCCCCAGCGATGTAGGGGGTCAAAACGCAAAAAAACGCTCCAACGGAGCTCGCACAATCGGGGGTGAGACGTCGGGGGCCTCCAGATTTCCATCCGGACCCCCCACATCTGCGAGGTCTATAGGGGCTCCCAATATCACGTGCCCTCTCCAAGCACCACTCCTTCAACTTTCTTTTTCCGATCAAGATGGCAGATTTCTCAACTTCTTTTATCAATCAATCAATCTTACCTTCACCTTCTCAGGTTAGATCAATACTAAGATCATCAATACCTCAATTATCTTCTAGAGGTTTATTATTTGCTTCAAAATGGACTTCTGAACTTTTAGTTTCAATCAAATCAATTCAAGATCCTAGTAAGTGATTGAAAACTTTTCAACAAATTCGTGTTTTTTTTCTTCTAATCGTGTTTTTTGATGGTTCTTCTTAGATCATTCTATTAATTCATTTTCAATTAATCATGATCAAAATCAAGATGAAGAATTCAATTGTGATTTATATTTTCTTGGTCGTTCTTATTTTGATATGAAAGAATATGATCGAGCATCAAAAGCACTTAAACCGATTAAATCAGGTCCTGGAAGATTTTTAGGTCTCTATGCTAGATTCTTAGCTCTGGAAAAACGTTTGAATGATGTTTCGGGTCCTGCTCTATGTCTGTTAAGATTTCTTTTTTTGTTCAATGATGAAATAGTTGAATTGCTATTTGCTGAGGATTCGATGTTTGGATAAATTTTGGGAACAGCTACGCGTCAAAATCTTCGAACTTTTACTCCAAAGCATCAAGATTTACTTGATGAAATTCAAAGCTCTATTGATCCTTTTGAATTATACCTGTAAGTATCTTGTGCCACATCTTGATGTTAGTTTATACTTCAACTTACCTTTCTTTTCGGAATTTCTCTTTCCTTGAAAAATAGCAAAGCAATCCTTTTATCTCGTGGAAGTTATCGACTTGAAGCTATTGATGCTCTAGTCCATTCCATCAATTTATATCAATACAATTGGAGTGCTTGGAAATTATTACAAAAATTGATTGAAGGAGCTGATGAGGTTAGGAAGATTATTTTTGAGATCGATTGAGAAATGGGATGTTCCTGATGAAAGATTTTTTAGCTAGAAACTATTATACCTCAATTACCAAAAGATGGATTCATGGATCGATTTTTTTTTATTCATGCCACATTAGAATCTCATACTTCTGGAAATGGTGAAGTTTTAACAGTGAGTGCTTGATGAATTTCAATTTCTTTGTGAAGTGATATGATGGATTCTGATTCATCACAGAAAGTTATTGAAGAACTTCAAGAACTATTTCCTACTTCGATTTATTTAAAAAGTCAACAAGCTTTAATGGCTTATCATTTACGAGATTTTGATGTGGCGGAAACGATCTTTGATTCCATATATGCTGAAGATCCTCATAGAGTGGAAGATGTCGATACGTACTCGAATATTCTTTATGTTATGGAGAAACGTGCCAAACTCACTTCCTTGGCTCAGAATTATGCTGGTGGAGCAGATGGGGCAGGCGTAGATCGGATGAGACCAGAAGTTTGTTGCTTGCTTGGGAATTATTGGAGTCTGAGTGGTGAACATGAGAAGGCTATCGTTGAATTTAGGAGAGCTTTACGTTTGGATCCTAGTTACTTGAGTGCTTGGACTTTGATGGGGCATGAATATGTTGAGATGAAGAATACATATGCTGCAATTGAATCTTATCGAAAAGCTATCGGTAAGAAATCCTTCCTTGATCGCAATCATCATTTAATCTTCTGCTTTAATCTTATCTTGAAAAAATCGACAGTCACTGATAATAAACCTTCGCCTCAAAATTCAGATGCGAATTCAAAGGACTATCGGGCGTGGTACGGTCTGGGTCAAACCTACGAAGTACTGGACATGCTTAGTTATGCATTATACTACTACCAACAAGCAACAGCCCTAAAACCCTATGATACACGGATGTGGCTCGCATTAGCTCAAGTATATGAAAAATTAGGAAGGAGAAGAGAAGCGAGAATGACCACTAAACGGGCACTTATGATTGCTCAACCTCATCTTGGAGGACAAGATGACTTTGGAATGATTATGAAATTAGCTGAATTATATGATATGGATGGTCGACCTGATGAAGCTGCCAAGTATCATAAAAAACTCGTGGATGAAGCTCTGGAATATGGTGGAGGTCCTACAGCTAGATTGGCGAAGAGTTTATTGTATCTTGCTAAACATGAAATGGTATGTGTGATTTGATTTCTTCTTCTTATTCTGACTTTTTATCATTTCTTAATGACTTATCTTCTTGCATTCGGGTTTCAGAATCTTTTGGAAAAAGGTAGTGGAAGATTAACTTGTGCTAAAGATTATCTTACTACACTTGTTAGAATGAATGTAGATGAAAAAGAAGATGCAAAAGGATTGTTGAGAAGGTTACAGAGTTTTGATCAAGCCTTGAATTCAGATTTAGGTATTGGATCGAAATGAATTGAGGATTTGGTGATCAAAGAATATTTTGGAGAGGATTGTAGATGAAATTGAATTGGTGTTCATAGATTGATTCAAATTCATTCAGTTGATTGAAAGGAAAGTTTTTAATCTTAATATTCTTAGTTATGTTGTAAATTTTGGGTTTCTGTAAATTGCTCAGAGGGAATGGAAAGGGAATGGATGAAGAGTTTTGTATCTGAGATAGTTATGAAACAGGAAGGAACTTTGAAAAGGTGATATAGACTCACAAAGCCAAGTCAAATAAGGAAAGAATGCCTGAAAACACTTGTATGAGATCAAGGCATGAGTTGATATTCAAAGGGGGGGAAGAGTAAGACCTCAACCTCTTTTCTATGACAATGATCAAGTAATTGTCTTAAGAGGTATAACAGTCAATAGGCTTGAATGGAGCTCAATGGTTTGCCAGTCATAAAAATGTAAAAGGCAATTCAAAAAAGACCTGCAGAGCAAAAAAGCACTTTCACAAACATCCCTCAAGAATTCGAGAGACTCAACCTTGGGCATTGCTCACAAGGCTCAAGTCAAACTTGAGCACAATAATTAAGTTTGAGGATTGTGCTGTTTTTCTGACATTACTACCCAACTCATTGGTCAGCAACCATGATGGTATAATTATCACCTCATTTCAAGAAAGCTTCAAAAAAAGACACCAATAGTCCATTTAGCCTTATGAGTGTTCCAGTGTGGACACGTAGTCTTTGTAGATTCAAACGTGAAAGTTCAAAGATTTTGAAGTCGAATAGTAATTTTCTCACTTATTTGAGTACATATTCAATCCGTCTCTATGGGTTGCATAACTCACTGACTCAGCATTTCTTAGTGGACGTGAGTCGTGCCTAAAGCTAAAACCCAGGTAAATGATGTGATAATTTCATGGAAATATGTCTTCATAGAAGTTTGACCAAATTTATCAAAAACACACCAAAACCTTTAGAGCTGAAATCCCTTATTTCAAAGGTACTCATGGAATAGATTGCCAACCATTTACATGATGCATCAAAAAACAGAGAATGATCGAAACATATCAATCACGAAAATCTTGATATTCTTTCAAACTAATCTTTAGAGGCTAAGAGATGCCGGAGCATTGCTGTTTTTTGTATGAACTATTTCATGATTTTACAATCGGTGCATACTAAAAGGCAACCAAGACTTTTCAGTTAAGCCGGCTTTTGATTGATAACAAACTGTGACTGACCAATGGGTTTTATACTAAAAGGGGACTCATAGCAAGCATAGGATGTTAGGTCGCTGGTGCCACAATCTGTAGATTCCTCATCCAGAGTCGACAAAACAATCTATAATAAGAGATTTTATAAGGAACAGATGATTCAAAACTCAGGATACTGACTAAAATTTCTCTGTGCCTCGTCGAAATCATATTGCAAACAATCTTCCTCAAGGTCTCCGCCGTCCGTCCCACCATTAGAAGTAATGAGCTGGCAGGAATCCATCCTAACGAAGGGCGCACGGTCACCTAACATCAAAATGCATGAAACAATTGCTCGCTGGTCGGCTTCACGTTCCTTTTATTCAATGTCACAAAGACTAGTTGGTAAAATACTTACCTTCCCTTCCAAGGTCTGGGATACCTATAATGTCAAAATGCATAGAGATATGCTAGCTGATCAACTTCACGTTCCGTTTTATATCAAATGTCAAAGTATTTGATGAAATACTTACCATCGTCACCCTTACAACTTTCTGGTGAGCATTTATACTTTTTTGTTTGAGGGTATCCAACCTTGCACACTTTGAATGTGAGCGATCAGGAAAGAGGTTCACGTTAGCCGTGGATCTATTGTACACACTAGAGCTATAAAGCAATAAAGATTTAAATCAAATCACAGACCTGGGTGCTTGTCTGTGTCGATCGCATATCCTGCGTTACAAGCATACTTCGTGTTCGACACGGCCTCCCTTCCGTCCAGTTCATAAATCAATAGGGAAAGGAGTAGCAGGGAGATCTTCGGGAGGACGTGGAGCATTTTCTGGACAGCAGGAGACCAAGATGAACGTCAATTGAGCTATTCTTGCACAAGTTTGGAAATGACTAATATTGGATCGAGAAATGATGAAAAGGGAGGCTGCGTATGTGAGGTTTAGATGAACCGGTCTTTTGATCTTGGACATGACGTCTGCTCCTTGTAGTACACGCGGCTAAACTTTTTTCCCTCTGACATGTGGAGAGGCGGAAGGGACCGTTGTACAAAGCAGCGCCTCCGCGTTCAAGCATGACCTTTTGTGATGCAAAACGGGGTTCACTGCTTGGGGCTGGTGACCGGCAGAACCTGATGATTCAGTGGTGAGTTAAGAAGGAGGATGAAGATGAAAGAAAGGTCACTCCGAGATCACTGAAAGAACTTAAGAAGAAATCTACAAAGAGACTTGCCGGTTCAATTTGTACAGTCCGGAGGCACACCACATCGGGAGAGGTCATCCGCCAAGACGACGCTGTTGGAGACACAGGGAAAGACGCGAGAAAAAGCTCAATTTTGGGTAACCGCACTACGAATATAAAGAGGTTATAAGGGGATTCAAGACTTTGCTGTTTCACCATGACCTACTCAACTTATCTTCCTTTGCAAAACCCCAACAGGGCCTCATTCGTCGAGGAGCTCCAAAACTTCAACTTGGAAATCAATACTCTCAGTGGTTCTTATCATTACGAAAATTGTGTATGAGTCAAGTGGATGTCACCTTCACAATGTAATCAACTCTGAAGTTCAAGTTCTTCAAATTTCTACAATTGAAACGACAGAATTGTCAACTTCTTTTATAAATCAATCAGTCTTGCTTTAAGTTTCACCATCTCAGTTAGATCAATAACAATAAGTGCACTTATACTCTAGAGGTTTATTATTTGCTTCAAAATGTGCATCTGGACTTTTGGTTTCTAGTAAATCATCACATTCACATCGGGCTCCTAGTCAATGGATTTTACTCAATTCAGATGGGGTAGAACTTGAAGCAGTAAAGATAGAAGACTTTTTCCTGACAAAGTTTTGACTTGATGAAATGAGATTTGATTGGACAAGTACAGCCGTCCCAAAAGTAAATGTTCCAGCTGTTATTCGACGTTTAATTTTTCATATCCGTGCTTTTCAATGGGATCGTAGAAATTTGCGATCATTGATTTGAGGTCATTAATGACCTCAAAGCCTGATGACCGCAAAAATCAATTTTCTTCGGGGTAATTTATTTTTTTACAAGCATTCTTCAAATTTTCAAGCTCGCAAAAAAAGGCTGTAAAAAGATGACCGCAAAATTCGCCCACAGACGCCATATAATGCAATTTTGCGTTCATTATTTTGCGTTGCTTATTCTCCGTAAACCATAAAGCACGTAAAAGTATAACATGTCGAGGTAATATGTATTTTTGCAATCATTTTTTTGCGGTATATGAAGACTGCGAAAAGTCTTGAAAAATAAGCATCGCAAAAATGAAATTCATGACCCGCAAACTATACTTTTGCAATCGAACATTATACTTTTGCAATCAAACATTCACAGTCTAAAATTCAAAAAGACCCAACGTGGCATGCACCAAACTGTTGCACACTGGTCTTTCACACGGGGAGAGGGAGAAAAAAAACCAAAAAAAACCTCAAGAAAAATTGACATTCCAAGATGAATTGAGACACAAGAAAAAAAGACAATGGATGAATCGAGACACAAGAAAAAAAGGCAATGACAATAATGCGAGAGAAAAAATAGAAGGAAGGAAATCATAAAGGAAGGAAAAAAATTAAAATAAAGAGCGACAACGCAGAACGAAACAGAGGAACGTGAAAGATTGACATGCAAAAAAAAACCTAACTTGAGCTGAGCTGAAATATGCTCTTACACCCTCTTGCGCTTGGGGATACGCTTGGACTTCCGTATGCTACCATTAGCCTCCTGACTGCCGTCCTCATCCTCCTGAATTTCATCATTTGCGTCATTTGACACCATTTCCGAAACTGGCACAAGTTTCCAACCTTTCCATCGTTGCTTGGCACTTTGATCCAATGGTAAGTATTCATTAATCAAAACGTCTTCTTCCTCTTGGACAGTTGCTTCGACACCTTGGATCAGTTGGTCCTCATCTTGCTTCTTCTGTATCTTCATCTTCCTATTACAAACTGTATTAAAGACAATACCAATATGAACTCAAATCAAGAACAGCAGAAATTAAAATTAAACTGCTTACCTGGTTTCGGTTTGCTTTTGTTTGTTAATGATTTCCGCTTTGCCAATGTAACATCTTTACCTTCAGATTTTGAAAGACGTAAATAAGACCACCACAACAGGAGACAAGAAAACGAAAGAAACTTGAATCTCACCTAGTTGTTGTTTGTTGTTGTTGGTGACCTTGTTCCTCTTGGCCAAGGGAACATCTTCATCATCAGAATGGTTTTTCTTGTTTGTTAAGGATTTCCTCTTTGCCGACGGAACATCTTTATATTCGAATTTTGGAAGTACAACAAATCAATTTGCATTACAGGACAAAGAAAATTAAATCAAATCTTACCTAGTTGTGGTTTGTTGTTGTTGGCGGACTTTTGCCTTTTGGGCAAAGGAGGATCTTTGTCTTCGTAATTGTCTTGCTGAGAATGATCCGGTGGAGCTAGATGACAAGTAGTGGTTCAATGAGAATTTCTAAAAAAAATAATGAAAGACAAATGCATTTGCCCACCTGGTTCGTCTTCGGAATCTTGTTCACTTTGCTCTTCAACAGGTTGTGAAAACGGCTGAACCAATACCTTCTTTTGCCCGAGAGAGCGGTTGATTTTAGCGTTGGCAGTCTTGATGATTGATGACTCTTTTGGAGTTGGGGCTCGGGAATACATCACCCAAGATGTAAAAGGTGATGGTCCTCCAATTGTTTTTACATCAGTAGATAGCAAAGTGGCGATTCCGGCGTTTTCCATATCGTTGTGGCCCCATACACCGGTGAGAGTTCCGACTGTACGCACCACCTCACACCAATAGTGATCACCATTCCAAAACCCGCGCGCACGCATCAAGTAAATGGTTCCATCAAGGATCATTTCGTATGGTAAGTCGCTTTCTCTCATCATCTTGAATGCTTCGTTGGGATTTGTTGCATGGAGACAGGCGATGTCCACCTGGATATGTAGATGAGGAGGTGGAGGATCCAAAACCAGTTTCGAGTGGAAAACCTCAAAAGGCTGGGTATGAGGATTTTTCTGCGTCTTGCAGCGTTTGCAATACCGTTGCGAATCCTGATGGGAGCCACTCGTAGCCCATTCGTGGAGTATTTGGGGCGTATCGGAATAAGACGAACCGTCGGCAAAGTTTTCGTGTGATAAAAGGATTGTGTTGAGATTGGAGCTTTCAACTAAAAAGTGATCTGGGTTTCTGGGACAAGTATATGTGCGTTTGAGGCCAAAACGAAAAAGAGATTGTGTGATTGTTGGAGATGCTGGTGCGCCTGGTCGAGTTTCACGGTCAAAGATCCCGTTGAAGAATTGATCCGCAGAGGCGTATGCATCAGGCAAAAAGCTTCCTGGACATCTTTGTCGGATAGCCTCGTGAAGAGTATTTTGACCGTTGGAAAGAATGTTTCGAATTTTTCCTGCCTGACCAATTTCCCACGTGGACCTTGACGAAAAAAGACTCAAGAGCTTAGTGTATATATGCTCTGACTTGCCTGTGGACTTTGTGTACCAAACAGGCGTATGAATGGCGTATAAGCACTCAGTCATGGAATCTAGCCAACAGCGGAATTTGCGACCTTGAGATGACGAAGCAATGAAACCTGGGTATGTAGTTACTGGGTTCCAGTCAACATTTACAGACCCTTTAGGCCGTCCAAGCTTCTTCTTAGGTCGACCTAACAAAGCGTCTGTAGTATCCGGTGGTCTTCCATCGTTTTTAGCTTTGCAATGCTTTCGAGATTTCTTGGCCCAGCCAAGAACCTGGGCCACTTTCTTGTAATTCTTAGCCTCGTCGCCGTAAACAATTGAAACCCCCCTAAGCCTATCCTTGTGGTCCCTTTCGAGGGACGCCACCAACGCATACAATTGCACAATGCCTATTTGGATTGTGCAGTTCCCTTCGCTGAGAACAAACGCACCATGAGCAATCAAAAGAAGCAATGAAAAAAAGAGGAAAGAACAAACTCACCATATCATGTAATAAACTCGATGCATAGACTCTTGTGCGTTAGTTGTTGTTGGCATGATGTCGTCACAAAGACTATCATCGTCGATTTGCTTTACTCTTGACTTGAAAAGCATTGCCTTGATGTCGGAAGCTTTCCACCATTCAAGCCACCGTTTGGCCTTGGGGAAATCCTTCATCAATTGCGCCAGTTTCCCGTCAAAGGTTAAACCACCAGGCTTGTCCGCTTTCAAAAGTGAAGATGCTTGCTTTTCAAAAGTATCCTATGCGAATTGTTGAAAAGGAAAAACTTCCAAATAGATCAGCTAAAGGCTAAAGACAAAAAGGAATACAATTGATTCATCTCATACCTCATACTTTGCAGGTATGATTGCACGGTTCCGCTTCACCCGGGTGACCTGAGTACGGAAATGCTCATGGCACCCTTGAAGTTTAGAAAGTGCCACTGCACGATCATTTTCCTTAAACACCTTCATGTACGCCTTGATAAAGCCATTCTTCTGCGCCAGAGAAAAATCGACTACTTGTCGTACGAGTGTGTCACATTCTTCCGCAGTTACGTCGGCACGCTTGATTTGTTTCATGAGTGTACGGAAGTGAGAAGCGTAATGTTCTTCGGTAAGGCCTCTCAGCCAGGTAAGTTGGATTGGGACCCATCTTCGAAGGTCCTCGTGATACATCGATGTGGACAACAGGTATCCATTCTTGAAAAATTTGTACGTTACGTCCGAAAGGAGTCCACCACCGTACACCCGATTGTTCTCGTCTCGAGCCAATAGTTGTTGTTGCATCCACTTCGTTTGGAAAGTCATGTGCATGTTGTAAGACTTCATGGAACCCGATACCACGGTCAAACCACGGCTGGAAAGAAGGACATATAGTTGTTACCATCAAGACTCAACAAGCCTCGGGTCGGGTGTTTTTCCAAAAGATGGCGGGCCCTTTGGTGTAATTAAATAAAAAAATAAATTACAATGGGAAAATATATATGTATATACCAATCCTTGTATTTCCTCACATATCTACTCTGTTGACCATCAAGATGGCCATCAATAAGGCCAAAAGAGCTCGCCGTGAGCGCGAAGAAGTCAAGATCAATCTGATAAAGTCTCAGGAGCTTGAAGAAACCACTCCTCCTGTCCCAACCACTCTAACTTTAACCACTCCAGCGATTCCAGCGATTCCAGCGATTCCAGCCACTAAACCTCCCAAGACTGAGCGTCAGATGGAGGACATCAACCATCGATACCTCGAGCTAGACAACTCACACCAAGCAGCAAATGCATATCACGAGCTTCATCCTGGTTCAATCAAAGAGATTATCAATCGATCACATCAGCTTGAAGAATTGAGAGAGTTCAACTTCTTGAGGAAGAAGCTCGAACTAGAGAGTTCAAAAACCGCCTCAATACCGGCCTCAATTGAGACAGCCATGTGCTCTATGCGCCGACAACAAAACTCAGATCCGGACTGGGAAGGGGCTGGAGTACACCATGCTCGCAAAATTCGACAGCTTGCTGCATTTGTGATCCTCCATCAACGTCTGCCTGAAGAAAACCGCGGGAAATTGACTGTGCACAGCTGTATGCTTGACAACATGGGCTTCTTGAAAGCGATCACCGATTGGATTGCCACTGTGAGAGTAGGAAAGGTAATGTTTTCGCTTCTATGATTGAAGAGTCTGTCAACATCAACTAAACCTTTTGATTTGATGCTAAATCTTAGGTTACACCAGCAAGTCTTGCTCATCAAGTCAACTCGATAATTCTCCCTTCCTTTCCTGAATACCAAAAAACGATTTGTAGAACTACAGCAAACCGATGGATGCATAAGCTTAATTTTAGTGTCAAAGCATACAGCAAATGCTTGTATTACAACGGACATGAACAAGCTGATGTAGTTCTCTACCGACATAAATACTTAAAACAGATTGATGAGCTATGTAAAAATTCAAAGACTTATGCCGGAGACGATCTTGACAAAATTACTGAACCCAACTTGAGTGGCTCAGCTAGAGAGCTTGTTAGAGTTTACCACGACGAGTCAACAATTCATGCAAATGAAGAATCTTCAACACACTGGGCCCAACCCAAGGACTGTGATCTACGCTCGAAAAGTCTTGGAAAGTTGATTCACATCTCTGACTTTATTTGTGAAACAACTGGTAGACTTGTAATACCTCCAGATCATATGACAGATCTTCAAGAGAAAGATGCTGCCGTGATCATCACTCCAGGAAAAAATTCGGATCCCTGGTGGGACTCAAAACAGCTCATGCATCAGATTGAATTTCGGGCGATTCCAATTTTTGAGGCACTCCATCCTGGTGCTCAAGCTCTCTATGTATTTGACTGCTCATCCGCCCACAAATCATTTGGCGAGAATTCTCTTCAAGCTGCAAACATGATCCTCGGTACTGGGGGTGCAAAACCACAACTTCGAGACACTGTGATACCAAGTGACGATCCCAACATTCCAATCGAGCTGTGTGGACTCCCGCAGTCCATGGTTTTTCCTTCCGATTACTCAGATGGAAAGCTTGCTGGGAAGTCAAAAGGTATCAAACAGGTCTTAATCGAGCGTGGTCTATGGACCTACCATGAAGATCAAAGAAAGTCGAAACAACTTTCGCCTCTCAAATTGAAGTGCGAAGACTGCAAACGATCTGGTCTTGCTAAAGATAAAATCACCCGAGCTGAGCGTATCCTCAAAGAAGCAGTTAACTCAATGGAAGGCGAATCGGGTGAGGAGTTCCCTGAGCCACCAGAACTCCTGTCTGATCAACCAAAAGACTGCTGTTGGTTCACCATTATATCCGCCCAATCGGACTTTTCTGAAGAAAAACCAATCATACAGAAGATCATTGAAAACGCTGGCCATCTCTGTATCTTTTTGCCCAAATTCCATTGCGAGCTCAATCCGATCGAGCTTTATTGGTGCTTGATCAAAACAAGTAAGTGGGAGTTTCTTGTTTCAATCAAACATTGATAAACCTCGATTAGATTGCTGACCATCCGGACACATCCAAAACTAATTTAGAATTTCGTTTGCTGAGCTATACCTGCAATAACTTCCGAGAGGCAAAAGACCTGTTCAATCGAATTCGAAAAGAATGTCCTCTGGCAACCATCCGACGGTTTTTTTGGAAAATCAATGGACTCCAGGAGAAGCTCAGGCAAGTCTTTCCAATTGCAAAGGCTTGATTCTTTTCTCATTTTGATTTCTCTTTGCAGACAAGCTGCTCAAAAGAGCATAGCTCCAGACCCAGCTGCTCAAACCTATCGCTCACACCGCTGTGTTGCTCGCACCGCTGGAAATGTTTGAGAAACTGTCCATCAGCTATCAATTTTATCACTGTATTATTATCATTGTATCACATTCCTATGTACAGATATCTAATCACTCCCCAAGAATGCACTCGATGATTCTCCGATCAAAAATCATCATCATGTTAGAGAATCTACAGTGATCACATCAAAAATCATATTGTAAAAAAAACAAATCTCGCAAATCTTTGAACTAATTCATTTCTATGTAAAAAAAAATCGGCCGACCTATTCGGGCTGGAATACTCTAGAGATTGATAAGAGTGTTCCATTTCCGTTTCCAAACTTTCAAAAACTCAAGGATAAGGATGCGAACATCGCTTTTCCATCCATAGCGATTTCAGTGCAAACGGCTTTGGTGACCCGACCCGAGGCTCGTTGAGTCTTGATGGTAACAACTATAAAACAAAAGAATAAATCAAACGAAATAATGAAAAAAAGAACTTGAGAAAGAAAAACAACACACCCGCTCCAAAGTTCCATATCTAAGATGAAATTGCCAGCCGCGCCTGGAAGGCTCTTTTCAGGAATTACGCCAGCCGCCTGAAGGAGCTTCCGTCGGTAATATCCTGTTCGATGGAGGTTGCCAAAGGCGTGGTGGATGTTGCTAGCGGTGACTAGCTCCTGCTTGCCTGCAGGAGCTCTACCCACCTGAGATACGGTAAGAAGTGTTAGTCAGCATTTGTGAATCCATCGAGATTAAGAGGAACAGACATACCTTGTGTCGTAATGGCCCTATTTCAGGGTTTTCGACAACCTTTTTACCAAATTTCTCCAATGACAATTTATCTGGCTTACCACGTCGAGGCCATCGATGTTGATGCACACCGGAGTGTTGAATAATACCCCATCCGCTCTCATGTTTGTCCACTCGACACAAAGTGTTTGAACATGACATGTAGCGAAGATTTTCGGGACATCTTGCAGCTGGGCATTTCTGAGGTCTAACAGATAGAGAGATAATGCAAGTCAGAATATATATATTATAACCCAAAAAAGGAGAGTCAAAAAGGCGAGAAACGAGAGAAAAAGCACAAAATGCAAAAAGTTACCTGCTCAACCATTCCAATCTCTTGGGGCCTGATGTTGGTGGTGAGCCGAGATAATCAGACTAGGCTGTCACATACAATGACGCCTAAACAAGTATATCTCACTGTTCGCCAGTCGGGCGGCCCTTTGCTCCTACCTCCTCCTGAAGAAGTATAAGCAAACCCGAAAGTGCCCCAGTTTGTGACCTTTGGCTCGGCTGTTTGTCTTACAAACACAGTATTTCCATTGGGAAATAGTGGATAACCTTCGTCGTCAAGGATATTATTGTCATCTATGAAAGTTTTGAAGGATGGCCGGTCAAGAGGAAGGCTGAAGGTTTTTTTGGCTTTGTGATCTGGCTTTGGCTTGAACGAAGTGGAGGATTTCAATGATTGTGTTTTCTGAGAGGACAATTGCGTTTTCTGAGTATTTGCCGGCGGACATGGGAGGAAGGAGGTCCCACGAGGTTCACGTTCGAGTTTGGCTTCACGCTTGGCTTTGTCATGATCAAAGTCTATCTCGAAGGCATCGTTTTCTTCGTGTTCGTCGCTGTCTTCTTCATAAGCTTCAGAATTGCTGTTTTGGGATTCTTGTTTTTCTTGCTGATCATAAGCGTCAGACTCGCTTGACTCTTCATGTTTTTCCTCTTGCTCGTACGCGTCGGATTCGCTAGAGGAGGAGTCGCTCACGTGTTGAAAATGAAAGGTAAAAATGTACCAAAATGAAAAAATGATTGATTATCGAGAAAGAAAAAATGAGTGAAGTAATTATTAAGGAAACGTCAAATAAGAGAAAATAAAAAGATAACGCCAGGCGTCGTAATGACCGATTGAAAGTCAAAGAACAAAAAGTGTCATTATCTCATAGGATTGAGAATAATGCGACTGCCTGATGAGACGTCTGTGGGCAGTACGCGCATTCCTTTCGTCCCGTTGCAAGTGTGCAACGGCGTCAATCCTTTGCGCCCTGGATCGGTATTACGCTCTTAGTCCAACAGGATTGGAAATCATGTTCGTTGCGAGGATCGCAAAATTAATTTTTTCGAGTGATATTATTCACTTTTGAGAGCTTTCTTTTGCAGCGACTTTGAATGTCTGTGAAATATGAACTGTCAAAGTATCGAATATGACCAGAATGTGTACTTTTGCGATGTTTATCCTTTGCGAACGATATGGAGAGCAAAGAATATGTTGCAAAATTAAAAAAAAAGGGACAGGAACGTAATTTTCAGGTCTTTTTTTTGCGGGTATTTTTCTGCGGGCTTTCAAAAATCACGAAACCTTGTAAAAAAAAACTTTACCCCGGGAAAAATAGACTTTTGCGGTCAACATGAATTCAGGTCATTAATGACCTGAAATCGATGATCGCAAATTTCTCACACCCGCTTTTCAATCTGGTAGAAGAAGCGCGGAAATGGCCGATGAAGTGGCCTGAGGCTGAATCTCATCGCCTGTCTGGACCCAGCTTCGCCCTCTTGAGCCTGCTGGCGCTCCATCTCTGATCCCAGATGGGCAAAATCACAGTCAACCGCGGATGTAAAAAAATCAAAAATAACAGAAGCAACATCTGTTGTCAAAACAGCTGTAGTTCAATACCTGACGCAATTTCAGTAGCAAATTTAATGGGCTCAAGCCTCTATGATTTGAGAGCAAGAGGAACCGGCAAAGGGAGCTTGCCCGTATTGGGAGAAAATTTGACAAACTCCTTAAGCATTAGAGGGTCCATGGTCGAGGCTTGGAAGTAGCTCATAATTTGTAAATTGGTTTGCTGCGAATCGGTAAGTATGATTATGGAAAGACAGGTCTCCAGAAAGTAACAGTTGCGTGCTTTGGGACAAAGGTTCTCGTGCGTATGATGTAGCACGTATGATGGAGCACAGTGAGGTGCAGTGGTCGGTCAATATATATCAACGGCAAAAGGCTTTGAACTTTACAAGTCGATAGAATTGAGCCATCTGTTTACCTTCTTTTGTTAAACCTCGATACCTCTGCATGTCTGAAATCGTCAAAGACCGAATCACCAACTTTGTCATCCACTTGGCTCCGGACGTCAATCCATATCAAGCGACAGCTGATTATGTCGCAAACTTCCTTCTAGTGTGTTTTATACCCCAAATTGATTTCTTGTTGAGCATCCGCGATCCAACATAATAGTTTTACCTTGTCGATTTTTCTCTCTCTTCATCCACAGCCATGTACTCTGCCCTCTTGGTCACGTTACGTTGAGTTCGTTATCCTGGCAGGATTTTTGATGTGAGGATATCTTCTTTCTGATCAACAGAACTAGAACAAAGACAAAGTTGAATTACTTAACAATGTATTTGACATAAATTTGGTGGTCAGAATGTTTTCCCAAGCATCTTACATCCTTTATGTCCGCTCAAAAACAAAGAAGATATACCATATTGGCTTAAATGATAGTGAGTGGATCTCAACTTATGATTCTTACATCTATTGGGATCAATAGCTGATCTTTTCAATTAGTGGGCCTCATACAGTATGATCGTGCAAACCACTGTGGATTGTTTTACTTTCTATATAGTATCCGTAAGATCACTCCATCCGAATTTGTTTGTTCTTGAAACGACGATCTGACGTATCCACCTGGCTACTAGTTGGCATGACCCAAATTGTTGTGCAGCCATTTGTACGAAATGGCCATCTAGACCAAGGAGGTCCAGATTTTCTACTCGGGATCCAGTTTACGCTTAAAAGTGGATGCTCCGGGTGAGTCTTCATCAATCAATCCGCCTGTTTTTCTGAAAGCTAACATAACTTTGTAGCGGTGAGTGTCTTTCGTTCAGTTTCTGCTCGAATCCTTGATCACACATTGAAAATAATTTTCATCATTGACGGGCTGAAACTCAGTAGTATCATGGCTTGCTATCTGCCATTGTCTATCGGTGCAAGGATATGTATTTCGTCGCAGTACTCCAGTAGGACAATTTCTCTCAGCCCCTGTGACATGGGCTATGAACGTGTCCTCAGTAATGATATTTCTCGGACCAACTGGTCAGCCTACGTGTTTTCTGCAACGGTACATGGTATATAGAAACTCTGAAATCCCTTTCCAATCTTAGTGACATGCATCATCTCATACTATCAAGTCGCCATGGAATATCACCGCATTCGACAATTGGTGATGCCCGTAGTTGACATCCTCCGGGACGAGGCTTCTACCTGCGCCATAGAGACATGTACTGTAATCCATATGATTCCTCGATTGCTTTCACTGATCACGCGGGTATCGCATCATATCGTCAGTTTGCTTTGGGGAACCAGTCAGATAAGTTCAAGTTGAATAATAGCAACAATTCTTCAATTAGGATCTTTTGGTACATTGGTGTCGAATTGGAACAGGCTCTTATTTATTCTTTGATGGATGCATTATTGTTGTAAGTGCTTCCTCCATATTATTATCAGATATCTTCCAATCTAAAACCAATGCATGAATCTCAATCAGATTTACATTCCGCTCCTTTATCGATTGTTCCGAAGCTTCAAGGCTCAAAGAAGACTGTTTCGAGGATCACAACGACAACAAGACAGAATTTTTGCAAACACCTTGATTGAGTTTGCAATCATATTGATCACTTTTGTTTTATGCTTCTTTTCAGTATGTGGAGAACCTAAATCTGAATTTTAACACGAACTTTTGGATATTTAATTCCTGATTGAAGTACCTTGTTACACTTCTAGATGACTTTAATACAAGAGGGCGATTTCATCTTCAATCCAAGCTATTTCCTTGTCCTTCGGATTGTAAGTCATATCTTCTGTTCAAGATTGACCTTCTTTTCTTTCTCTCATGATTGTTCACAATTTTCAGGGCGTGCATGGTGTTCTTGCAACCTTAGGAAACATGTAAGTGGAGTTGTTTGTTATGGCTTTTTTGAACGTTGAATTGAGATGATCACTTTTCAAAGCGCTTTGTTCTTGATCATATGCAGCTACCGTGAAACAGATATAGAACCTCCCAAAGTTCATATTCCAAATTTGCCATCCTTTCAAGCTGCAGGATTTTCAAAATCTGATCAAAATGTCTCACCATCATGCTATCCATATTTATAAACTCCACTTTTCAATTTCAGCCCGCCAGAGTCTGATCATTGTACAGTCCCCTCTAAGTGGTTTATATAGCCAGTCAAGGGCTTGGGCAGTACCTGGGTGTTTTTTATCTGCGTCTACAATCACTTTCATCTTCTTCAATCAATATGTTCAAACATTTCTCATGAGTAAACTGAGATTGTTTTCAATTGCTTGAAATTGCACAAGCAGTCATATATAGTCTGACTGACTTGCTTTTATTTCTAAACAGTTGAGAGAGCTTGGAATTCAAAGGTTAGAAATACACCACAAAGACACCTTTTTGCAGGAGGATGTCCCAACCATCCTACATTGAGACATTGAGCTGGCATCCCAAGTTGGGACATCATTGAGATGAACCAAAGGTGAGACATCCTCACTTCATCTTTTGGATGCCATGGTGGGTTTTCAGTACAAGCACATCTTGGAACACTTCATGACAGTGGGATATTTGGTGGACGTCTTGCAAAGGATGTCTCACCCCCTACAAAAAAAGAGGATGCCCTGAATGACGACCCTGGAAAGCGTGTACAGAACCTCCTAACAAAACGCACTTTTCAGGCATTTGCTCATGCACACAACACTTGACTACTTATGAAGGTGCACAGTAGCCCGTTGTGTGCGGTAAAAGAAGGGCTATCTTATGATGCCAGCCTCGAGTTTTTTGGAGTGCTGGTTGAGGAGAAAAATGCAAAAAAACAAACATTTTTTGATGATCCTGGGCGGATTCCTACATACTGGGGCCAGGTCTCTACAATGGGTTTTACCCAAAACCGCCACTCCTACTCTAGTAAAAGTATATGGACTAGAAAGCTGCAGCCTTTTTTAACCTGTTGAAGTTTTCAAAACTTGGAAAATGGTTGTGGCTGCGTGGGAAAAGCCCCAAACCCAACAAAAACGAAATTTGGGTACCAATTAGGAGGGTGTATTTGCGCTCTCCAGGGTCCTCCTGGTGTACTGTAATGCACACTCAATTGAAGTGATCTGGGTGAGTTGAGGGAAAGCTAAATGCCACAACATGGATTTAAATAATTGACACATACAATCTGGACAGACAGGTTTACTGTGCGTTTGAAGAACTCAAAGAGAAGTTACTAACATACCACTGAGTTTAGAAAACTGGAAATGTAGAAAAATCCTGTCAATATAGGGGAGGTAAACTTGTAAAAATAATGGTTCAATCCACATTGTGCGTACTTTTGCCTATATTTTTGAAGATCTCCCAAAGCAAGATAATCACAGGGGATAACAGGTCAGAAACTCAAATGCTGTCCAGAACTATTGAAATTTGGGCAAAAACCTTCAGCACCCACAAATATGGAAATTTTGTTCAATCACTTAGATAATTGCAATTTATGA